TGTACTGCAAGCTGTTTGGGCCAAACTGCAGCACCTACCTGGCACAAGAAGGCTTAGATCTCTGTTACAAGGGAACCTGCAGCAGTCAGTGAAATATCAAATCCTTTAAGAAACCACAGTATCAGAGAGCAGAGCATGTGCAACGTGTCAGAGTTTCATCGGCCTCTTTATAAGGCCAGCGTGCTAAATGTGACAGCAACCAGTCATTACATAAAGCTTTCTGAAGATCTAACATCTGTAATACAACACGTACTCATCATGCAAAGATATGAACAAAAATAGTTTTGAAAAGTTATGTGGAGAGAAATTCTAGCCGTTAGGGCTTCAACAGTGTTTAGTTTCTCCTCCTACAACTAATGCTGACAGCTGAAATAGCAACAAGCTGCTTTCAATTAGACTGCATGTACAAACCTCCTGTCACTGTTAGCATGAAAGAATACCAGGCAGTGAGATAGAAAATGATGCATTTTGGTGTTAGTTGCAGTGGATGTCTGAGTCTTGCACACAGCTATGGGCCAGATCCTCAACTGGCGCATCTGAGAAAAACTTCAGTGGCTGCACAGCAGCTTGGACATGCTGGACATAGCCAGTGGACAAGGCTGATCTGCTGGGTGATTATTTGGGGGTAAGAGCGAAGATCCCTGGCAGAGCCAGTGAAGATCAGCACGACTGCTTCAGCTGGGTTGGGCTAATGAGAAAGACACCCCACACAAGGACCACAAATAATTGCTTTTGATGGGATGGAGCTGTGTGCTACAGCACGAGAGTAAAGAGAGAGGAGGACTATTTTTTCCTACTAATTTCAATGCCAAGTCATTTCTGAGATAAAAACTGCAACATTTGCAGCCTGAACTAAACTTGCCAGCCAGCTTGTTAGCACTCAAACCACACTAAGAGATGCAGAAGTATATATACACCATCGTGGTTCCATTCAGTTCATCTGACCTGAAAAATAATGAACTTCAGATCAAGTAAATGCAAAGAACTCTGTATTGCCTCTACAGCTAGGAAAGAATGATAGGAGCTTGGAAGTACAGGTGGCAGATCAGGACCTCAGACAGTCAAGTTCCTATCTGCAGACCAACACAGAGGGAAGGTGATGAGCTGCCCCTAACAGATCTTCAAGGCTGGGCAGAAAGACCATTTCTCTCAGCAGAAACCATTACCTGCCATTAGCAGCAATAAGAGCTGAATATGAAGTGCATCATGAATGCGGCAAGAGGACCAAATAATTGACAGAAGTGCTGCCTTGAAGTTTGCCCTTCACAACATTATGGCTGCAATTAAAACTGCACGTGAAGTGTAGGAGACCACAGAGGAGTGCACAGCTATTTCAGGCCTGTAGCACTGGAAACAAAGCAAAATTAGGGTACACTACAGAGTATTCAAATCTGGTAAACTGCAAGTGTGACGGGCTGAATGCACTGCTGAAATTAACAGGAAAAGAATCCCTACCATATCTGACCTAACAATTCACTGGCAACAAATAATGTGAAAAAATCCAGTCTCTCTCTTAGCCTCGTTTCCTGTACAATTAGACATTATGGACTCACGTGCCCAAACCAAACTCAACACCACATATCAGAGGACAATCCACTTGTCTGAACAGCTACGTTTAAAAGGGGAAAGGAAAAGGAAGGGAAAGACAGAATGGAAAAGGAAGAATATGACATGATAACAAAATCTGTCAAGATTCTTTTCAAGTCAGAGATGTCAGGCACTGGATATCATTTGATGAGCTAATCTGTGATCCTTCAATGCAAGCACAGAATAGGAACAAAGCATGTGAAAAATCACTTCTGTGGATGCGGACAAAGTGAGAGAAGATGGTCCTTTGTTTAAGAAGAAGGGAGCACTCTTGTAGTAAAAGGAAGAGAAAAACAACTGAAACTCCTGCACGACCAGGAGATGCTTGCTAAGCCTTCAGATTCCCTTTTACTTCTCAGATGCACAGGACTAGCAAAGAGAGCAAGAAGGGGAATGCAGTGTGAAGGACTCTGTGGATGTGCCAAATTTACTGCCTGCCCATGCCAGAATGCCAGCAGCAGAAGCTTTAATAACCAGTAGAGTGTAAATCCATAGACAATTATCCAGAGATACACAATAATAAAGGTATTAACACGGGCTCTTCTGTCACGCACAGCCCTGTGCTGCCCTGAGGATGAGCAGCACAATGTGCACAGTGCAAGCTCCAACAGGATGAATCATGTTCCTGGTGGCAGGGTTCAACAAAAGGCATGGGAAACACAATGCCTTTTAACAAGGCCAGGATGCAATGAATCATTTGGCTACAACCACCTTACTTCTCAGCTCCTCGTAACCGAAGGCAGCACATGCATCGTTTACCATAGGAGGGTCCAAACATCAGAGATTCTGGGTACTTCTCCTAACAAACCCTCCTTACCTCACAGCACAGCCTGTACAGAGCCCCAGAAGTCTCACTCTCCCCATTACAAATGTTATCAGTGCACAGGGACCCTTAAAATAGAGAGATGTCTGGGAATTTACTCACACCATCCTTGTCTTCCTGACACCAACCTCAGCACGAGCACACTGCGCCCCAAAGGTTCACAGAAAGCATTTGGGTTGGAGAGATGAAAGCAGCTGAATATAAGGTTCCCAGTACTGAGGAAGCTGCTGTCAGATTTATGTTGAGGCAGATTAACAGCAGTGCCATGTGCTGAGGAGCAAAACAGCTTTGCTGCACACCCACACTGCCTGCAAAACTTCCAGCAACTGACAGCGAGTGCCTGACAGCTCTGCGAGATCCACGCTGCCTCCACACAAATGGGGGGCTCCATCCAAACACATCCAACGTGATAACGAAGCCTGCATCCAATCTGGCCCGTGTGGACTGCCACCAGGCTCAAGCACTGCCTTTAGAATCTTCCAAAATGTCAGTCTTTGTAATAATGCAGATCCTGCTGCGGACACGTGATCTTCACAGGAGATTACAGAGGGACTACAGGGTCTATATTCAGTTCCCTAGACTACCACACAGTCCTTTGGGTGACCTTGGAGCAAGTAACTTAATCTTTATAAGAGGACTAATAACTTTGCTAAGGTGACAGCAATTTGAGCTTGCTGAGCTCCTAAAGGACGACGTTTGCAATCCCAACCTTGAAATCCCAGGGAATTTTAAATTCTATCACGTTGAAAAACTGGAAGCAAATAAAACTAAACCACTTGAAAAATAAACCCACCAAACCCCAGCCTTTAGGCATTCTGCTAACAAGCTTACAAAGGATTTGTCTAGAGGCAGCCTGCTGTATGAGCAGCCAGTCTATTGATGGGCATCTAGTGAGGGTTATCCTACTAAGACAGACAGTGAGAGCATGGAGAGGTATGCATAGAGCCAAGTACCTCCACCACAAGCACTGGTATCTAATTCTAACACAGAATGCACTGGGAGAACAAGAAAACAAAGCTAGAAAAGTTTCACTACCACAAACATTAACCTTAGACTGGTTGCAGGCACATCTACCTCACGTTACTGGCTCAGCTGCTTACGGACACAGCAAACTTGGACAAGACTAGAAGGAGAAAAAAGGGGGAGAACTGGGGGTGGGAGCCCAGCCATCAGAAAGAAAGGCTGATAGGTCCTGATGATGAGAGAGCATCCAAGGGAATGGCACCTGCTCACAGCTGAGGAACTGCTGCTGCCTTTTATTCACACCGAGGATGAAGTAAAGAATCTCCCCCTCAATTTTAACTGTCGAATCAAGCAGAATGGAGTCTGCTTTGGATAAAAGCAATTTTATGGCACTTATTTGCCTGGAATCCAGGAAAGGCAACGCTGCCAAAAGGAACACCATGCACTGTGTTGGGTTCTCCCTTCCATTCGTGGAAATGACTTTGACTGCTTTCACTCTGCAGCTTTCCACCTTCCTGCTGAGATTCCTGCAAGACCAAAGAAAACTGGTATCCTTGTTGAGTAGGGAAGAAAATACCAGACTGAAAGTCTCAAACACTGAGTCTCATGGATTCCTAGGGTAGACTGAAATGCTCCATAGAGGTTACTAAGCAAAACCTTGCAAGAATCTGTACGGAAGCATCTCAGATGCACGCCCAAATGCTCAGGTGCTGCCCTGAAAATGCAAGGAGCAGAGCTCTTAGAACCCTGAAGAGCAGTGGAAAAGTCCAAAATATCACAAACACTTTTAAAGCCTCACCTCAGGAAGCTGTTGAGGTGACATGAGCTTTCTGCACCACCAGCTTCAACTAAAGCTCTCAAGCTCCTTCTGGATGACACAAAACTTGGAGAGATCTCACCCAACATTTCAGTCATGGAGTGGAAAGGGAAGAACAATTCGAGAGTTTTTATCCAAAGATCTCTAGTTTTTAAACCAAATCAGGAAGATCACTGATTTAGAAAAGACTTTTTAGATATGCAAATCCTATGATCATAGAATAATAGAATGGCTTGAGTTGGAAGGGACCTCAAGGATCACGAAGCTCCATCCCCCCGATGAAGGCAGGGCCACCAACTTCCACACCTAATACTAGACCAGGCTGTGCAGTGCCCCATCCAACCTGCCCTTGAATACCTTCAGGGATGGATGGGGCATCCACAGCCTCTCTGGGCAGCCTGACACTGACTGGGATCAGATCTAGAGAGATTCTGAACAGAATGGTATTCGGTGATAACGCAAAGGTGGTGTATAGCAACAAGCTGACTCTGTCTACAACAAAACAGTCTTTTCCTTCCAGTGCCTAATTTGGAATTACAGATTAGTAGTTTTTTTTTACAAGTTGTTGGTTTGTTTGTTTTTCCTACAGTGACTAATGAAATGACTCTGTGAAAACACCGAGATGTTGACCCTTATATTTGATGGAAAACGAAGGACAAAAGACAGTGAGAGCTAAACCTGTGCTCCTGCAGCATGCCCACAGAAGGCTGCCATAAAGATAAGCTAACCACACTGCAGTCCCCACCTCCCACTGGCCTGAGGCTGCAGCCTGTAACAGCTGGAGGAGTAAAAGTGCTGAGCATTACTCACTGCCATGACGAGCTCAAAAGGGTATTTGTAGACTCGAACTGGGGACTGGTATTTCTGCACCATCTTCAGCACGCACCTGTAACACAAATCAAATTGGACAACTTCAGGCCCCTGATAACAAACGTTAATACATTCTAACAATGCTCACAAACAGATCTGGAAGCCTTAAATCCCTCCCACAGACAGAGATCTTCGGTCTGTTTGCTGCCCAGCCTCACTTTGTAAGTCATCGAGGGAAGAAAGGCAGGTAGGTGTGTGCAGCCCCAGCCCAGCACACATCCAGCACACAGCAGAGTCCTCTGCTGCTTCCCAACACTACTTCAACCAAAACTCACAATAATTAAAGCAAAGATGTAAAGCCAGAACGTGGGGAAGGAAGCCTCTCCTACGGATCTTGCAAAAGCTTAAATGGAAATTCTTTTTTTTTTCCCCTCCCTTCTATTTTCTGCATTAAGTTTGATACCATGATGCAAAATCCCTCCTATTGAAAGTCTGCACAGCTTCGTGTACATTCTTTTAAATACTTTCGTGCTCCAAGTACCATTTAGCTGTTTTAACTCACTGAAAGAAAGGAAAAGGAAACAGCATGCTTACAGAACATGCCCAATGCTAAGCTAGCAATCACATCCCACTGCCTGAATGCCCACTGCCTCTAGCTGAATTGAGGGAATAACTGCATGCAGTGGAAACAATTCAGCTCTCAGTGTTTCATTTCTCCAAGCCACCTCTCACTGTTCTCATCAGGATTCCTCCCTCACACTCTTCTGCTGAGGTTTTAACCCTTAAATACACACCAATAATGAGCAGCTCAAGGAGGCAGGTAAACCATTAAAAAGGTTATCGGGCTGCTTCCTGCAATTCTTTTAGAATCCTTTACGTTGCTCCCGTTAATGTCATCCAAAAACATCTGAAACACCAAACTGGACAGCTGGTTTGAGACTATGCTGATTCCACCCTGCTCAAATTCCTCTGCTAAGCAGAGCCCTTGGCAGCACCATGCAGCATAGCATAGCTGAACTCAACACTCCGAGCACAAGGCAACTTATCCCTGACGTTTCAGGCCAAAAACTGGAGATGAAACATGACTTAAAAAAGCAAACGGCAGCAGGTCCTGCTCTAGTAGAGCTGCTGCAAAATGCCATCGCACACAGAAATCCAAGCGTTCAGCAAGGGAGGGGGGAAAAAGTTTGGGTACCTGAGAGCGAGGAATGTTTGTAGAAGGGTCTCACAGTCAGACAGTTACTCTGCAGAGGATCACGTTACCCAGGGAACAACAACCAGGACTTGTTGGCTGTCCGAGAGCTTTATCGATGCTAAAAGCTGGACCTCGCAGAGCGAGTAAATGCACAGAGCAGGCATCAGCACAGCAACCACCTCACCTCAGAGTGAAGTGAGCACAGCAGGAGCAAGCAAACACCCAGGAAGCCCAGACTGCTATCACATATCAGATACCCGAGCCAAGAGAGGCATGGGGCACCTTGTAATGCAATGCTGTAACATGATTATGCAAGCGCAATACCTACGCTGTGCGGGAACCTTCCGAGTCAGTGCAAATATAGTAAGAGAAGCCTCGTCACACCTCTTTAGCTGTCATCTTGCTTCCAATTCTAGCCTCGCTTGCTAAACCTGGAAGTCTGGCACTGCTGTAGGAAGGGGTCAGAGACCTCTGCAGGAGGAAGCCTCAGGACGCAAAGGCGGCACAAGCTGTAGCTGAACAGCCTTCACCACACTGCTTGGAGTGCTCTGTTGTTATGCCAGCCTGCAGCTGCAACACCAGCCTGCCACAGGTTTGCTCTAGCTGATGGAAGTTAGGAGCAAAGGGGTCAGCAATAACTGTACCCACAGAAGCAGTGGAAAACAGACAGCTGATAACTCACACTTGCCCTAGAAACCTCTCATACCTTGGGAACAGTGTGCTGGCAGACCTTCCGTGCTCTCTTCTCAAGACTGAGCAGTCATTCTGCTTCTCAAAACAAGAGGGACTTCAGCTAGAACTCCTGGGGAGGAAAGGGAAAAAAAGGCAGTGAGAGTAGTCACTTTTTGCATGGGGATACAGGCAGGTGATTAGCAGTGATAACGATGTAGGATTTCCAGGTGCTACCAGAGGGCTGCTGAGCCAGATTTGCTGAAGACATGCACATTAATACATGCTAGAGCTTTTAGTTCTCAGAGAAAGACCTGTTTTAGCAGTTGCTGAGTATTTCACATAAGTTATAAACAGATGTTTTCAGCCTCTTTGTAAAGACCAGAAAGCAGCTTCATGAGTACAGAAACACCTCTGGCTCCATAAACATCCACCATAGCACTCCAGCCTTCAGTAGCCCAGCTACCTGTTCCACTTTGTTGTGCACCTGGCTGAAAGCACACATGGAAACTGGGCTGAAGAGTGGTGATTCAGTAAGCTGCAACCTGATGGCTTACAATGGTTAATCCACACCCAGAGGCAGTGTGTTACCCACACTGGGTAACACCAGCGTCTGGCCAAGCCCAGAGCAGTTGAAAAACTCAGAGAGACCGGAGCAGCCGGTGCAATGAAGCAACACATGCAGCTAATCCCTGTAAGCATCCCAATTAGATGTTAGAAGCAGCTCAGCTATTGCACACCTGGACGCACGGGACAGCAGCAGCTACCATGTTGCACAAAGCACCCCATGATGCTGCCAGCAATGCCAGCAGCATGCAGGGTTGGCACACTGGGGCTCCCTGCAGAGGCCAGCATGGCCCTTCTGCTACAGCACCTCTCAGCTGAGCTGAACCCCTTGCACGGCAGCAAGTTAGGAGCTCAGGAATACACCTCTGGCACTGCACTGGAGAGAGAAGGAAACAAGTCCTGACCACACACAACTCCCCACTGCAACTTCGGTGGCATTTCAGGGACAAGGTGAGCTCCTGACAAGAAGTGCCCGTGCAGCTCGCAGAGCTATCGCTATCAGCTGAGCCTGGGAGGGCTCCTGCAGGGAGCACGAATCACAACACACAGCAGAGGGAGGAGAGGCAGTGACATTAACGATACGCTTCCACTTTATTTAGAATCACCCAGCAGGCACCTGAGGGATTTTCCATATGCTTAACTTTTATTCTATTATTTGTAGGAGAGGCTGACTTGACAGACTACAGCCAGATGGTTGGGAATGAGAAATTGGGTTTCAAAATTAAATATACATAAAGTCCCAGATTGAAGTCCACAAAGCCCTGCTTCTCATCCCAAGCTAGCATTGCCTGTTAAGTGGCAGAACTCAGCAGCCACAGCCTTTATTCACTTCTCCCACCCATGACGGTTTCTTCTCAGCAGGAGAACCACCAAGCAGGTTTTGCGTTTGGTTCTGTTTTTGAGGGTTCTGTTTGTTTGCTTTCACAAAGCCCTGCTGAAAATAGCAAGAGTTCCAGACTTCCTCAAATTGTCTTTTGCCACATGAAAGCCAGCTGTCCCCAAGCTGATACTCACAGCCAGAAAGGGGGGACACAGAGGGTGGTGAGGCACTGGCACAGGTTGCCCAAGGAGGCTGTGGATGCCCCAGCTCTGCAGGCATTCAAGGCCAGGCTGGATGTGGCTCTGGGCAGCCTGGGCTGCTGGCTGGCGACCTGCACACAGCAGGGGTTGGAACTGGATGAGCACTGTGGTCCTTCGCAACCCAGGCCATTCTAGGATTCTATGACTCTGGCGGGCTGCAGCCTATAATCCTCCCTTCAAATCAACACACAAAGCTGTGCACGACACTTCTCTGCCTCGAGAGCCTTTTGCTGTGGCAGATGCTGACAGACGCCTCGCTTACTTAATAACAAGATGGTACCAAGCTGCAGGATGCTTATTAGAGCCTCTGCACCCAAAAACTTGGTTCTGTTTTTCATAGCTCAATAAAAGAAATGGAATGGCACCAGCAGACAGCTCTGGTGTCTTTCAGAAGCCGATGTCTTCTCAGGCAGGGCTCCATCCTCTGCTCAGCCCTGAGCTGTGCACACAAAAATGTGGGGGGGGCACAGAGGGCTGCAAGGCAGAGCTGCTGGGAGCCCGGCCCCCACGCTGTCACCCTGCATGGATGTAAGCCCAGTGGTGGATTACAACCAAGGGCGGACAACACAAACACCCCGACTGCATTTCCACATTCTGCACAACACAATAGGGAGCAGCGCCTTTGGCTGAGAGGGGAAGGAGAAAAAGGAACAGCGTAAGCATTCTGCTCTCAAATACTTGTCGAGTGAGCCATTTCCTCCACGCAAGCATCAACATCAGCTTCATGCCTAATATTTCTGTGCCTTTATCTCATACTCGGTGGGGAATCCTCGTGCCAGGGAACCACCGCTGAACCACCGCTGACCTCTCTATCACACACAGCCAAACTCTGACTCTCTGGCAGTTGAAGTTTGCCAGCTGGCAGCAGCAAAGTCTTCCTGGAGGGGCAGCCGTCAATCCTCACCCACAGGAGTTATACTGAGCCTTTTCTACTGCTACATGCACACAACACCTCCAACATAGGCACAGAGATGTGCCCCAGCTTAACACAGAGACAAGTCCATCTGCGATGCCCCAACAGCGCAGCACAACAGGCTCAGGTTCAAGCATACCCCGAGCTGGATGGGACCCGTAGGCTCACAGCCGTGTTTCTCCTTGGGCCCAGGTGTGCCGAGCACGCTGCACAGCCGGTGTCACCACGCGACCCATTCCGCGAGCACGCCCCAACGGCGAACAGCACACGCGCGCTTTAACCCAGCCCTAAAGCCTGAGACGGGGCTTTAATACAGAACCGATCCAAATACATCAACGCATTCCATAGAAGCTCACCGGGGTCAGCCCTGGAGTTCCACAACACCTGCATTCCGGCACGCTACGAGCCGATGCGAGGCCACAAATAGGGCGGAATTCCCCCCCGCAGCCCCTCAGCACAGCACCTCCCGCGGCCCTCAGCGCCGAACGGAGCCGAACGGAGCCGAGCCGAGCCGAGCCGAACCGAACCCCTCACACGACCCTCACCGAGGCGCCCTCCTCCGCCCCGCAGCGTGGCGTCCAAACGCGGCTCCGCGCGTCCTCACCGCGCCCACGGCGGAGCCCCGCCGGCCCCATGCCGAGCAACGGCGGCGGCCCCAACCCGGCTCCGCGCCGCGCCGCCCCCGGCTCCGCTTCAACCGCCGCGCTCCCGCCCCGCCCCAGCGCACGCGGCGCCGCAGAGCGCTGTCCATTGTGCTGCGGGGCGCGGCTCCGCCTCAATCCCCGCCCCGGCTCCAGAGGGCCCGGCTGGATTCGGCGGGCGGAGCAGAACCGAGCTGCGCCCCGTGTTATCGTAGTGAAGCGCTCGGAGCCCGGCTTGTCGCTCCTGGGGTTCTGGCTTGTGGGGCACGCTGCAAGGGTTGAATCCTAGAATGGCCTGGGTTGCAAAGGAGCTCGATCATCCAGTTCCACCCCCCTGCTGTGTGCAGGTCGCCAACCAGCAGCCCAGGCTGCCCAGAGCCACATCCAGCCTGGCCTTGAATGCCTGCAGGGATGGGGCATCCACAGCCTCCTTGGGCAACCTGTGCCAGTGCCTCACCACCCTGTGTGTGAAAAACTTCCTCCTAATCTAACCTAAACCTCTCCTGTCTCAATTTAAAATCATTCTCCCTCATCCTATCACTATCCGCCCTCATAAACAGCCATTCTCCCCTCCTGTTTCTACGCTCCATTGAAGTATTGGAAGGCCACAATGAGTTCTCCATGGAGCCTTTTCCTTCCCATGCTAAACAAGCCCAGTTCCCTCAACCTTTCCTCATAGGAGGGGTGCTCCAGCTCTCTGATCATCTTAATGGCCCTCCTCTGGACCCACTCAAAGAGCTCCACGTCCTTCCTGTGCTGGGGAGCCCCAGGCCTGGATGCAGTACTGCAGATGGGGTCAAAGGGCTATAGGGCTGTAGGACATCTGAGCCCCAGGTGCTGAGGCAGGCAGATCCACCATGCCCACCTCACCATGTGCTCACAGTGTTACCCCTCACCTCGGTGCTCCAATTCCTCGTGTTGTACCAACAGAATGCATTACAGCAGAGAGCTGCTCTCTGTCGGGCCACCTGCTGGACAAGGAAGCCATAGCAGAAAGCTGTCACTAGCTCTGCATTGTCCTTGAGGGTGTTTAATCAAAAATGTGTGGATGTGGTGCTCAGGGACATGATTTAGTCGTGGGTTATTAGAATTAGGGTAGTATGGTCAGGTTTTGGTTGGACTCGATGATCACTGAGGTCTTTTTCAACCTGAGCAATTCCATGATTCCATGGTTCTACGTGGCTGCACCCGAGGAGGAGCTGCCCATGCTGGTGGCACCTGTGGGCAGCAGCACGGGGCACCAAGGGGAGGTGAGAAGGGGATGTGAGAGACCAACCTGGCAATGTTTTACACCTTCAAAAACCTCCTTTCAAATTCTCCCAGGGGACCAGCTGACACTTTGCAAGATCATGTTTCCTTTCCTGCCTCCTTATCACTTCAAGCTGTGGAGCATCTCCTCTTCTAGACAGGCGTTTGAGGAAGCTGCGGTCCTATTTCTGATCAGTAATGTTTCCTGAAACGTTTTGCTGCCTCCAACCAAGCGGGCCCGCCTGCCATTGCTCTGTAAAGAACACATAGAGCCCTGAAATGGCAAAACTCTGGGAAAGCCACATCCTGCATGGCCAGAGCAGCCAACATCTCCTGCAGGCTGTGCGGAATGGCTGGGTGCTGAAACCAAGTCATCCAAACCCTGCATCTGCCTTCACACCTGCTTTTATGCTCTCCTTTCCCATTCAGGATGTAACATTTTCAAAGGAATGGTGTTTCTATCCCACCTCTGTTAATGTTATGTTTCCTTAGAGGGAACAGGAGACAAAAACATGATTTCTGCCCTCTTGCTGCAACGCACCAACCTGTTCCTACTTCGTGGCTCAATAGCGGTGCTCTTACATGTTCTACTCATAGAAAACAGGTCAGTATCTTGGAAAGCAGCTTCCCATCCTTTCCTCTGCTGGGCAGCCCTGACTAGAATCTCCCTTCTCCAATATGCCTTGGTCTCCTGCCACCAGCTCCCCTTGGAACACTGCAGTTGTGGTAGGATACCTTTTCTCCATCCCAGAGGAAGCTCTCTGCAGGCATTCCCACTGCCCTGAAGCCCATCTGTTCCACTTTGCTGTTCTATCACCTACGTGGATGGGATGCTCACTGCAGGGGCTGGCATTCAGCCCTCAGTGTTTCTCACTGGGGCTGTTCAGAAGGAAGTTCTCACTCCACAGAAGTTCAGTGCTGCTGATAGGAACCTGATCTCTGTGGTTAGAAATGAGAACAACCCTCAGGAAGGATGCCTGGTCTGTAGACACCATCCAGCTTCCACTTCACCCATTTCCAATGGCTTTTCCCTCTTTCTTCAACTTCCCTGCTTCATCTTTGGGTATAAATCGGAAAAACAAAAAACCAAAAACCAGCAGCAATTCCAGTGAGAGGTGAATCAGGAGAGGAAAAGAAGTTGTAGGGATTGCTCAAGATGTTCTTATTCCTGTTTCCTTCATTACAAAAGCATCTGACCTCTGAAGAAGGTCTGTGGCAGTGGTCAGCCCTGCAGGGGCTGTCTCACACAGCAGCAGAAGATGATGGCAAACCAGCATCACACAGACAGCCCAGCTGTTTCTGCACTGTCACACCAAGTCACTTCCCAGCTGTCTTTCACACGTGTTTAACAACCCTTGGAAGATCAGCATCGTTAAAACATTAAAGAGTCTCTTTAAAAATTCAGCAGCAAAGTTCACCCGGTTTTCAGAGCCATATTTAAAGCAGTGTAGAAGTGCACTTCTACTTTCTAGAAGTGGGCTCGTGTCCAGCCCGTGCATGGAGCTGTAAGAAGAGGCTTTGCAACCACGCTGCCCTCCCCAGCGGTGCTCAGAGAAATATGTTCCCACAGTTTGCAGCTAGCATTTAACATAGCCCTGCTCGACAAAAACTAAGCAGAAGTGGGGGCTGCTGCTTTCAGAGTCAGCAGAAGTTAAAATCCTGATGCTTTCTGCACTGAGGACACAGACCAGCAGCCCGTTCCCCAGCAGGCCCCATATCCTGCGGGTCCCTCGTGCTTTGCCTTCCCTGTGCTGCTTACATCAGCTGATGCTGCAAGTCTCTTTTTCTGGTGCAAAAGTGAGACGGAACGCCCTGCCAAGGTCGTGCAGTGAGGTGGCGAAGATCACTGACGGAGATGGAAGAGGAGATCTAATGAGCTCCAGTCCGGCACATCTTACAGCAGATTCGGTTACCTTAGCCATCAGACTGCAGATAAATAGTGTACTAATGGCTCTCTGCTACACTCACCTTTCAAGATAATGCCGAGGTGGCTGTCTGCCCAACCTCCCCATCCTGCAGCTGTTAAATGAGGCAGTCATACCTAGTTTTGGTTTATTTCATTAGGGAACAAGGGATCCCAGCCCACAGGTAGGAACTGAACTTCTGCTTTGCGTAAGAAAAACACAAAATAAAGCCATCAGGACATGGGTATTTGACCCCCAAAGCTGCCAGGCCAACAGCTGACCCTGCTGGTACTCCTCAAATTCCATCTTTGTGAGCTTACACACAAGCAGTGTGTCGAACACTGTTATGTCCATTCACAGGGACTGCTTTCATCTCCCACAGTGGCTCATGAAACACTCATTGATCTACATTTTAACAGCTCGCTATGACCTGCAGGACTCATTTGTAAATGCCAAAGACACTCCCTGTCTTCGCTGTGTGCGGGGCTCTCTTACACAGACACAAAGTGTTGTGACAGCAGCAGATTCCCTTACAATTCCCTTACAAGCAAGCTATGATACTGCAAATGAAGACAGACTCCAGACTCTCTGACAATACCAGAGAGGCCTTGCATAAATAAAATGCATTCTGTTCAAATGAGGTATTCTGTGACTGCTCTGGCTGTGCTTTGTACCTTCACACATTGCCCTTTTTGCCTCTCATAAGTTGTCACCCTGCGATGCGCTGAGCTCTGCCTGATCCCACTTACTTAGGAGTAAAGCATGACACAGGTTTGTTATTCTGGGTCACTGAAATCAGCATCACCTCCAGGAGTGCATCTCCAGTCATGTTCTCTCCCAGCATTTCTCTGGAAAGGTAGCAGTTGGCAACAATGCTATTAATAGGAGAACGGAAAGTTTTCTGTGCTTGAAGCAATGGTGCATGGAATGTGAGGAGTTCAAAGAAAATGATGGAAAACAAGCAATGTGGCTGCTTTGGAAAGCAGACAAAGCCTGACACCAGGATCTCCTGTCTGATAGGAGCCTGTGTGGTTGCTTTTTCAGAGAGGTTGCCAGTAAGCTGGGGACACAGGATTGCATGGGCTTTGTGAAAGGTTAATGACTTCCCTGCTCTTTTGCAGGCATGCAGCTGAGGATACACAAAATACAGCAACCCTGGGTCAGAATCTCACTGTTTCCAACCTCTGCCACATGTGAGCACCAGCTGCGTTGTGGTTGGGCTCAGGCAGGCTTACCTCTGCCAGGCCATGACCCACTGCGAATATTTCACGTGCAATCTTCTTCTGGGGACATTAAAATACACATGGCTATGGAAGGAGCATCGAGTGCACTCTCAGAGCACAGAAACAAGCCCTGCTGGGATGGGACTGCTCCTGCTGCTCTATTCTGCTCCAGCCCTCAGTTGCATACTCACACTTTGAGAAAATCCCGTCATTATTGGCGTTGGTAGCAAAACCCCCATTGACTGCCACAAGACTCTTCAGGCCTTAATAATAAGGTCAACAAGACTTGAAGGTGGAAGAGATGAAGCCGCATCCGTTTTATCCTCTCCTTTTTCACTGCTGGCTCTTACACATTCCATAGCACACTCCTTTGCTATTAAGTCTCAGGTGCAGGTGGTGACACACAGGCTGCTCCTTCCCAGAGCCACGTTGGTTCTGTGCTCTGGCAGCCGTGGAGAGCAGTGGATGGAGACATTGCCCTCCAACAGAGCCTGCAGCCCAACGCTTCTGAAGACGTGCTGCTGTGAGCAGATTGTATCTGCCACACAAACCCCATGGGGACAGGAGGTGCTTTCCCAGACACGGGGCAGACCAAACTGGCGAGACTGGGCTCGGCTCTGTGCACATCTTAGCTGTCTTATTGCAGCTTTCCCCTGCCTGTATAACGTGAGATGGGAACCAAGCCCTAGGGCTGAACCCACAAGAAACACCAGTGACTGCTCCTGAAACAGGAGCACTAGGGAGCAAGCTGTGAACCACAGCAAGATAAATACTGTTTAAAAGCAGCTCCTTCCTGGCTGTATTCTTGTGAGTGGTCCAAAGAACAACGTTTCCTTTTAAAAGAAGTCTTTTAATTTACATTCTGAGAGTTGCATTCAAAAAAGTCACAAGCTATGAAAGTAAATTCAATTGAAATTTCAGACTGGTTCTTTATCCGAGAAATTCCAGCACACAGTTCATTGTTTTAGCGGTGCAGAGACATCTGTGAGTACAGCAGGTATTAGTTACCATCATGATTTTTCCTAGGCTGTACTGTAAGCTAAAAAGGATGCCCTGAATCCACACAAAGGAAAGCTAAAGTAACTGTAACTTGGTGTAACAACTAGAGTGTATCCCATTTGCCTGCCGCTTCTGTATGTATCTTGCTGTCAGCTGCCAAAATACGGGAGTTAAAATGGTGTGCAGCGAGATATTTGTCCCCAAAGTCTCAGGGCACAGTGACTGCAAGCATAACCTGCTCAGAAAGCCAGCACCTGCTGAGCAGTGCGTTCATTTTATTTGCAAGTGTTCACCTCAGATCTCTACCTCGTCCATTGCTAACCATGTGCAAGCTTGCATCACACAGATCCAGCTCTCAGGTGATTCTGCAGGCTGTTATTGAGGTGTGTTTGCTATGTCTGGGCTCTGCAGAGAGCACTCAGTGCTCGGCAGCACGTGGGCACCAGGTGCACACAGACATCCCCAGCAGCTTGCTGGGATGCTGCTTCTGTTTCAAGCATCGCAGCTGAGTTAAGCTATACAAAAAGAATAAAAAGAGAAGTACCTATCCCAAGACAGCTAACAGGCTACGGATTCAGCTGCATCGATGACAGCCACTAAATGCGCTTTGGTTATTTGTATGAAATACCAAAAGGAATCTGAGTCCCTTGAGTAAGTCAGTGCTCCTCTTACTACCCAGGATCCAAGCTCTAAAAGGCTGCCAGTGAAATCCAGGCCTGTGTAACCTCTTGAGAATAGTTTTCCTATAAAGCTGCAAAACCAAGAGCAGATAGCCTTGTACGATAGCTCAGAGGTAGACGCGCAGGGGAGGCTGCTGAAAAAGTCTTGGGTAGCAGTCAGGAGGAATCAGTCTCACTTTAGAAAGCTTATTTCTTTCTCTGGGCTGCCTGGAAGCTGAAGCTCCTGCTGTGTGTCCTTGCCATCTCCCAGCACAGCAGCTGCATTATGAGCGGTCGCAGTTCTGAGCGTGAGCTGCTTGTGGGAGGTTTATGTTGGCTTTGCAGGCAGCTCCTTGGTTGGGCTCGGTGACTGCAGCTGGTCACCCTTGTTCTGGCTTGGAGGAGGAGGCCACGTGGTCTTCTGATGGAGATGGCTGAAATGAAAAAGTGTTTTTTGTAACTCGGGTGAAGGATACAAAAGATAGGATGAAGACTTTAGGATGAGAGGTGGTGGCTCTGCATAGCATGAGGAGAGATTCAAGTTGGATAGTAGGACAAAATTGATCTCTGCTCAATTGCTCAAAACTGCTCAATGCTGAGGCATTGGCACAGGCTGCCCAGGGGGTCACCGTACCTTGAGGTGTTCAAGAACTGTGGGGTTGTGGCACTGAAGGACACAATTATTGGGCAAGGTGGGATGGGTTGGACTTCATGATCTCAGGGGTCTTTTCCGACACAGATGATTCTGTGTTGCTCCGACTTGCTACTGACTAGGGAAAAGGGGAGGCCGTGGATCTCACGTGGCTGATTGTGCTGGCTATCTGCTTTGTCTGAAAATGATTTTCCTAACCTCAAAATCGTGGATTGCAAACTCCTACTTTGTACCTAACTGCCTCCATGCTGGCAGACTCTAAGGTTCACTTGAGGTGATCAGTTAATACAGTTGACACAGACATTCAGGTCTCTAAAACATGCTCTTTCAGCAGATGCCTTCAGGACGTGGCTCTGTTAGATGTCATTCACTTCAGAGGTTTCAGGGAAACTCTTAGAACACTGAAGATCCAAACAGAGCCACACACGTCCTATGATCCTTGGCTGGAACTTCAGCACACCGTAACTCCATGATGTAACAGTTTCATGCATTCAGTGAGGATCTTTCCCATGCTCAGAGCTCACAGTGGTCTAAAAAGTGCCACAGAGCCATGATTTTCCATCTGGCCTGAAGGAAAAAGTGCATTTTAGATCCAGGAATTCACCCCATACTTTGCTGTGCTGGGTGAGAAGGCTCTTGCTGTCTAGCAGAGAACTTCCTTCTCTCTTATGACCACATGAAGGTCTCTGTCACACGATCTGGTTCAAAGTTGTCGAGGAAAAAATTTGAAGAAACAGGAGTTATGATGTAAAATGTACACAGCAAGATAGATTTTGATACCTACTCCTTGTAGTTTGGGAGCCCTTCAGCAGGCAGGCACTGGTCCCTGTCACACGGCGAAGCTGGAAGTGTAAAACCAAGAATAAGCAAAGGGTTGGAAAGGATGCCCAACACAAGTAACAGTGCTACATCGTGGTAACACACACATAAATGACGCAGGCACTCTGGAAATGCTGACATGCTCATTTTTTCGAGTGCTTCTCAAAGGCTACCATTGTTTTCCTTGCATCCTGGGCTCTGAGAGGAGGCAGTGCTGGAGGGCAGCGCAGGAAAGGCTGTGGCAGTATGCCCAGTTGGTGAATGGCATCAAAGAGCAAGGAATGGGCACACATTTGGGGCTGTGTGCTCACCTGATCGTGACAACAGGATTAGAAGCTCATCTTTTGCATGGAAAGAGACAAGTAGGGTCAAATAACTGCTGCTAAGAAGCGTCTATGGATCACAGCTGAGAACCTCAGGCTGGAAAGTTAATTCAGATGCTTGGTGAATGATATTCTCCCTTTTGCAGCCATGAGAGTGGAGGAGAGCCCGGGTTGCCAGACTTGTATACCAAAGAAACAGGGAGATTACTCTTCCCCTCTACTCAGCACTGCTGCACTCATGCCAGGATGGTGAATGAAGGTTTTGGTTCCCAGTTCAAAGCTGCTGAGAAGCTGGATAAAATTCAGCAAAAGCAGCCCTGGGGCTGAGAACCTGCAAGGGGAGCTCAAGGAGGGCTGAGGGAGATGAACTTATTTAGCCTGGCAAAGAGGAGGCTGAAAAGCAATCCCACAGCACTCACTCCTACTTCAAGGGTAATTACAAAGACATTGAAGCCAAACTCTTGTTGGCAGTGGCAGACAACACAGCTAGGGGCAACAGCCAAAGATTGCACCTTGGGGAGTTCAGACTAGACATTAGGAAAATCTTTTTCTGCATGGAGCACAATGCAGCTTGGGAAGACATTCTCCAGAGAGGCTGCAGACCTCCGTTTTTGGAGGTGTTCAAGATGCAGTTGGCTGAAAGCACTGCAGATCTGGTCTGGTGTGTTGGTCCTTCCTGGAACAGGAGATTTGACTGCTTATCTCAAGTACTTCCTTTCAGAGCATTACTGTTATTCTATGAAACCATCCTCCTTACTCCTGGTTTCTTTGCAGGACAAGTATCTTTCCTCTGGTCCTGGGCACAAGCCACACTCTCTGACTCTTTAGACCACAAGCCTGATTGCCAGATCCATCTACAAATCATATAGGTATATAGAGGGCAATTACATCTCAGTTAGCATGAAAGAATCAGGAACATTCAAGGGAGACTTAGCTGGTACAGCAAACAAGTGGTGGAAAGTGTAATTAATGCTAACAACTAACATCGTTGAGACTTGCTTGGATTTGGGTTTCTCCCGTCAGCTGAGTGCTTACCGTCCTTGTTGGAGAGCATTGGTGCTAGCAGCTCTTTAGCTTCTGATAGCAAAAGGTCAACAAGATCTGAAGATGGAAGAGATGTATCTGAGACTGCCTCTGTTTTATCCTCTTCTGTTTCACTGTTGACTCTTACAAATACGGAAAGTGCCATCAATACTTCTATCATGGAACAATCACTGACAACCCTGGCCAGCTTCTTCTGAAGGACACCCTATGTGACTGCATTCAGAGGGCACTGCCCCTCCACTTCAGCACTTCAGGAATCCCTTTCAGATTTGCTTGTATTGTTACGGATAGAGATTTAGGATATACCAACAAAGTACTTTGTTGGAATTTCCATTTTGTTTAGAATTCCTCAAAACCTTATTTTCCTTCATTACTGTAGAAATGACCATCTTGAAAACCTCACCATTTTAAAGAACTGTTTCCCCTTACCATCACTCTTACAAATCAGCCTTCTTTAAGGGGCTGTTATTGCCAACAGGATCGTAACCTTTAAACAGGTGAACTGATTTAAAACAAAAGAAAGCAAAACACGACCTGGCTTCCCATAATAGAATTCTGATACAAGGGTTAGAGGAGCCCTGACCTTCCTTTCTGCAACCATTCCTGAAGTCAAGAGTCATGTTTGCTCTTTGCTTCCACTCACTCTATCAGCTTCCACAGCTGCTGACAGAGAACTACATGGCCCTAAAGCCAAAGAGTGATTTATATTAGGAAAAGCAGGTGAGTCACAACTCTGCTTCACTCAACTTTCTAAGGGGCTGTGCTAACAGGAGCAGCTTAACCACAGGAGTGCTTCACCTACTCATTTCCCCCAAAAACAGAGGCCAGCTGCCCCTAAAGTACCAACTCATCTGCAGCCCCCACAGCATCATTTCCCAATGGTTTCCTTCCCAAAGTGACAGCATAGGTCGGTTCTGTGCGAATCACCTTCCCCTGAGAAAGGTCAGAAAATGAAATGTTCCCGGTTTGCAGTTCCCAGAAGCCATCTCCTACCTTTTCTCATCCTGTAAGTGACTGGGTGTGCTCAGGACCTTGTGAACGTTCTGCCATAAAACAAAAACAAAACAAAATTAAAGGTTTCAGACTTGTAGGGACGAATAATTCCTGAGAACAAACCCCATGGGCTTCTGCTGCTGATCAGATTTAATATGACAGTAATCAGCTTCTGCTTATTCATTGCCCTTGAAGCAAATATCTCAAGGCCTTTTGCAGCACAGGCATTCACAGCCCATGCAAATACACAGACACTTCTAAATTATGCGTTTTAATGACAGCAGATAAAGTATACTGAACACAGCATAAAAATACTCTCCCAAAGAGTGGCTTGGCAGCCTACATTTCAGCAAGCCCATGATCATCACTACCAAACAATCCCTGCTTTCTGAATGGTACCTACACGTGTAATTTCTCCCTGTGGTTAACGAATGCTCAAATACTACTGAGGGATGTATAACAAGGAGACATTTTGGCCCTGGAGATTAAATCCTGTGATTTCTGTCCCTTGATCCAAGCCAAACCCGCTTGCAAAGTCCAGCCTGAAACTTCACACAGCCCAGAGCCTGGTGCTGCACATCCAGAGGTGTTTAAATTCATAGAATCCTAGAATGCCCTGGGTTGCAAAGGAGTACAAAGCTCCTCCAGTCCCAACCCCCTGCTGTGTGCAGGTCGCCAAGCAGCAGCCCAGGCTGCCCAGAGCCACATCCAGCCTGGCCTTGAATGCCTGCAGGGATGGGGCATCCACAGCCTCCTTGGGCAACCTGTTCCAGTGCCTCACCACCCTCTGGGGGAAAAACTTCCTCCTCATATCCAACCTAAACCTCCCCTGTCTCAGTTTAAAACCATTCATTTCCTTTCTCTCCACTGTTGATTTTAAGAGCTCCTGAGAAAAATTATTACTAGCTGTAGCATTTGGAAGTCCTAATGCTTCCCATGCTGGCTGGTTTACTAGCTACACAAGTCTGTATTCCCACCACAGGCAATGAATTGGAAGAACAGACAATTAAAAGAAAGCTCTGGAAGAGTAAAACTGCTCCTCAAATTCATGCTTGCTGTGCATAGAAGCAACCAATGTGTTTTACACAAAGCTAAGGCCAAAATGCAAAATGATTCTGACTATCATGCCAGGGGACACGTGTGATGAGCCATGCTCCATCATCTGCCCCACGCCATCACAGAGCTTGTGGGTACATGAGCATCTTTGAGCTCACTGCTCAGCTTCTCCTAACCAACACGCAGCGCCTTGTTAGAAGCAGAAGGAATAAAACAGCCTCTTGCTTATGGACCAGGAAATTAGTTGGACTTGCAAAATCCCTCATAAGGGAAGAGGCCACAGTGATGCCAGCAGTGCTGGTGGCAGCTCAGCACATCACCTGCACAAACAGGAGTAGTTTCCTATTGCAGATCTCCAGGCGCTTCCGTGAGACTTCGGATTTCCGTAACTGGCCATCAGCCAGGGACAGCTGTCTTTTCAGCTCCAGGATGTCCTCCTGTCCAAGAGAGAAAGGTGATGAGGACACTCCAGCCCCAGCTTTTGGAAATGCCAGCTTATGGCATTTGCTATAAAGAGAAAGCCACTGTTCTCTTGGAATGGACAGTGGGAACTGTACAGAAAACAGTGCACACCCAGAGGCAGCGCTGGCCTTGTAGAATACAGCAAGTAATGTATATGCTATTATCATTTTCTCCTTTATTAGGAGGAGGTGGAACCTCCAGAGAAGGATCTGGAGTGTTGTTCAGTCCTGTCTGTGTGCGTCTGTATTCCCAGGCTCAGGAGTTTCATTACCTCTATCTCAGAGGCGTGTTTTGCTTTCTTCCCTGCCAGCTGCATCTTCAGTTCTGCAATTTCAGCTTCCAGCAAGTGGATCACTTCCTCATAGTCCTGCTCTGCACTGTGCGCCTGTCTCTGCACCACCTCGGCCATCTGCAGCTTGCTGTGCAGCGTCCGGTTCTCCGAAAGGAAGCCCAGGGCTTTCTGGAAGCAGTGAGAAGCAATGTGAATGCACTGCATCCCCTTTCTGGGTCAGGGACAACCTGAGGGTGCTTATGTTAAAAAGAATAAAGAAGAAAAGAAAAAAAAAAATAATCAACATTTTGTGCCACATCCAATGAGCCAGCTCTTCACTCACCTGGTTCAGCCTCTGGAGCTCATCTTCCATTGACTTCTTACTGTTCTCCACCTCTTTCAGGAGAGACTAAGGGAAATATTTTCACCAGATCAGAAGCAGCAAGTGATAGGACATCCCCTAAAAGGGATTCTGGTCTTTTAGGAGGGGAGGAGAGGAGAGGAGAGGAGAGGAGAGGAGAGGAGAGGAGAGGAGAGGAGAGGAGAGTGTCTGGGGTCTATCTGGAGGAGAGGTCCCACCTTCAGCCTTCGGACTTCTTGCCGCAGGTCGGTCATCTCCAGCTGCAGCTGCTCCATCTCCTCATTGCCGTTACAGCTGAGTGAGTCAAGGGTCTGCAGGCAGAGGGCAGAGGACAGGCAGCTTTAGGCACCACCCAATCAAAACCAGCAAGTTGTGTTGCAGGTGCATTGCTTTCCACTTCTAGAATAGCTATAAATCGAACTAATTTGGAAAAGGAGATGGCATTTGTAGGAAGAAGATCAAAAGGAACACTAAATAATTCAACTGAAGGCTTCCCCTCCATCCCAGTATTTGAGTCTCTGATCCCTGACAGACACAGAGTAGCTGTTCTACAGTGAATTTTCATTTTGAGCCAAGCAAAATGAGTTGGAATGCATTAATTAAGGCTGGTTTTCCTTCTGCATCACTATGACTGACACAGGCTGCTGCTTTCACATCACCCCATAGGAGCTGTTGTTTCTTTATTAAAAGAGATGAGCCTGCTACACAGTTTCATGGAATTTGATCACAGAATCACAGAATGCCCTGGGTTGCAAAGGAGCACAATGCTCACCCAGCTCCAGCTCCCTGCTGTGTGCAGGTCTCCAACCAGAGCCACATGTGCCCAGAGCCACATCCAGCCTGGCCTCGAATGCCCGCAGGGCTGGGGCATCCACAGCCTCCTTGGGCAACCTGTGCCAGTGCCTCACCACCCTCTGGGGGAAAAACTTCCTCCTCATATCCAACCTAAACCTCCCCTGTCTCAGTTTAAAACCATTCCCCCTTGTCCTGTCACTACCCACCCATGTAAACAGCCATTCCCCCTCCTGTTTATACGCTCCCTTCAATTATTGGAAGGCCACAGTGAGGTCTCCCCGGAGCCTTCTCCTTTCCATGCTAAAGAACCATGGTATGGTTGGGGTTGGAAAGGACCTCTCAGCCCATCCAGCCCCATTCCCTGCCATGGGCATGTTCACCTCCCATAGATTAGGCTGCTCAGGTCCTCATCCATGGCCATGGACACCTCCAGGAATGGGGTGGGGTATCCACAGCTTTCTGGTCAGCAGTGCCAGCATCTCACCACCCTCTAGGCCAAGAATATCCTCCTAATAGCCGACCTAAATCTTCCACTCCCACCCCTGCACAGCCTCACATCAGCTCCTCAGGAGCAGGGCTGAAGGACACGCACTGACCGGGGAGTGGAACGCTGATGTATCCAGCAGGCTGGCCACCTCATGCTGCGTGAAGAGCACAGAGCTGGAGTCCAGGCCAGCCTCATCCAGCTCGTCCTGCATCACATCCCTGAGTGCTTGGAGGAGATCTGAGGCAAAAAGGCAGGAGACAAATGCAAGAATGGGGAAACCCATTGGCTGCCAAGAGCGGGTTTAGAGACACTTACAAAAATACATATCCTGAATATATAATTATAATTATAATTTAGAATCATCTGGTGGAACACCGTGGTTCTCAGAGTTCCAAACATTTGAACCCAAAGCAGCATTTCCCTGCCCCACATCATCCACATGCCTGCTGGTGTTCCTCCAGCCTAAGCAATGCAATCCAGATTGATGGCTTCAGCACTTGGGAGAAGCATCGTATTGATGGGTGTGAACACCAAGATTTGGTCTGCAGTCAGGTGCAGTGGGGAGGAGGCACCCTTGGTGTCTGCTACTCATTATAACTGCTTTCAGGCTACATCAGGGCTCAAATGAGTGTTTCTGCCCAGCCTGCTGCCTTCCAACAGCTGTTTCTCTCCTCTCTCAGCCATCACCAAGGCTGCACAGATACTAAAAGCCCACGAGGAGCTGCCTGCTCACCTCCATAGGCCACCGTCCCCTGCGAGTCTGTGGTCAGGCTCTGCCGCAGCTGCCTCTTCTTCTCCTCTGTCACCTCCAGGCCGAGGTATTGCAGGACCTGCCTCAGGAGCAACAAGCACTTAATAGAAAAATACTGAATGGTTTGAAACATGTGCTGGGAGAACACGGTGCTGGGTTTCTCCTGGAAGTGGCTCCAGGCACCAGCTGCTGCGGGAGCAGGGTTGGGCTGGATTTCCAGTCTCTCTTTTCCTACAGCTGCACAGCAATGCCTGTTCCAGGAGATACATTCACGACTCTCCAAGAGCATTTTATGCAGATGGCAAACAGATTTGCAGCTATTAAATGGGCAGGAGCTTTATTAAATGCTTGGAGCTCTTTCTCTTGCAGCCTGAACCGTGCTCGGGATTGAGAGGATAAAAACTATTCACAGCATATTTCCTGAGGCAAGAGGAGACATTCAAATACTTTCCCTCTTCACTGCACCTATTGCTCTCATTACGAGGATGCTCCTGCAGATATTTATCAACCCAAGCCCTGGGCACTGCACAAAGGTGGCTAAACCTGTGCAAACACCACTTTGGTGCCAGAGGCAACGACTAAAAGGCTTTAAAAGACAAATTCCAGCTCGATTGAGAAGCTGGGAATGAGCTGGGATTGAAGTTAAAGCTGCACCCTTGTCTCCTGCTGACGGGTCCCACACTCCTCGTGGGTGCCCCCCCGTGTCCTGGTGTGCACAGTGTGCACCCCTACCAGAGCTACAGCAGCCACCTCTTCCAGCAATGGATTCTGGAAGGGGATGCCAAGCACCCGAGCTCCTCGTGTTGTAGAATCTGGTTTATAGGCAAGGCCGGGGCAATCCTAAATCCCTGTCTCAGAGAACAGGAGGTGGGATAGAGGAGAGGATGGGATGGAGGAAAAGGGGATAGGGGAGAGGATAGGGGAGAGGATTGAGTATGGAATGGGATAGAATGGGATGGGTAGGGGGAAAGGATAGGGGTTAGAGGGTAGGACAGAGGGTAAGATAGAAGATAGGATAGGACAGAACAGAGGACAGAGGATAAAGGTTAGGATGGAATGGGATGGGAAGAGAATAGGGTATAGGATAGAGGATAGGAAGGGACAGAGCATAGAATAGGACAGAATAGAGGATAAAGGATAGGATAGAGGATGGGATGGAATGGGACGGGATATGGTGGGATGGGAGAGAGAATAGGGGTAGGCTAGAGGATAGGAAGGGACAGAGCATAGAATAGGACAGAATAGAGGACAGAGAATAAGGGATAGGATAGAGGATGGGATGGGAGAGAGAATAGGGGATAGGACAGGGGACGGAGGGCAGAGGATAGGATAGGGACTAGAAGAGAAAAAGGGAGAGGAGGAGAACTGAGGGTTTAGGGGAACTCAGCAGCCCGTGTGCGGGCAGGAGCCCCGCGCTGCCGGGCGGTGGCAGCAGATGTCCGCCGGAGCCCCGCACTGCTGAGCGCTCCCGCACTGCTCCTAAAAAAGCAGTGCCCGGAGGGGAAAAAGAGGCACATGCACCCCAAAACCAGAGCGGGGAGCACGGCCTCCGCGACAGACACTGTACAGCCGAGGGAAGGCACTGCTGGGGGCTCTGGGGCTGCGTGCAGCACTGGGAGGGGGCCAAGAAGAACCAAAGTTCTTCCAGCCCCTCTGGGCACGCAGCTGGGATGTTCAGTGCTCCCCGCTCTCCCTTTGCAGCTCCTAAAGTTGGACACAACCTCCAGCAAACTCAACTGAAGAGTCGAGATGCAGGGCTTTTCCAGAATCTTCAGTAATGATCAGATTGATTAATTGCAGCACGTGAGCAGTGCAATGGCACCATGGAAATCAGCACTTTGAGCTCTGTGTACCTGGGCTGCTGCTGTCCCTGGGGGGTTCAGGTGAGAGCAGAGGGGACTAAGGCTGCAGCAGCCTTTGTGCAGGATGGTGTGTGCTGCTTAGAGCACTGATCAGGCACAGCAGCTTTATTCTGTGCAAACAGCCAGGCTGATTCCCTCTGGTCATTTCTATTCCATTTTGCCATTTTTAATCCCTTTGGAAAACAAGTGACACAGTGACCTCAATGCTAACACCTGGTACAGCCCTCCCATGCCCAAATGCAATATCAATGCAAAATGGAAAGCTCTCAAACCATTCCCAGCTCAGCACCAAGTTTTGCTGTGTCTGCTCTCAGCTCAGGGCCAGATTCCTGCAGCAGCATCCTAGGCAGCGTGCAGATCACCCACCCACCCTAAGCATTCAGCATAGGGAGGGACTGGTGGCACATCCATGGGTGTTTTTCTGCACAGAGCACCGCAGGAGGATGGGGAGGAGATGTCACTTTGGGACCATGCACTCACCAGCTCCAGCTTGCCATCCTTGAGGCGAATGTGGGGATCCAGTGCTACTTTGGGTTTGGAGCCCGTGGCTGCTCTCAGGCTGGGGGCTGAGCAGGGTGCTGAAACACCAAGGGGAAATGTTAATGGAAGGGGGCTTGGGTAGAGGAAAGAAGTGCCTGCAAAGCACCGTTCAGGTTATATAAAGTAGAATGTGCATGCAGCAGAACACAACTGAAGAGCAGGATTTGTTAAATGTGGTCCCAGGCACTGGGGGGATGGCAAACCCATACTAAATGCAGGCTTCCTCATGGTTTGAAATGGGACCACAGGACCACAGACTGCCAAAATGCCACTGAGGAACTTTCCAGCCATAAGTTTTTGGATTCCTGGGGTCTGTAATTATGGTGATAGGTTTAAAAGAAGAAATAAATCTACCTGGATCTTGTCTAGGCTAATTGGTTAAGCAAAACCAAAAGCTAAGGAGCAAAGTTGTGTGATTGGAAGCCTTGGCTTTTCACAACTCTCATGGGATTAAGCAATGTGGGAAAATACCAATGCAAGACTTCTCTCCCCAAGACTGCAAAAAGCCTTGGGCTCCTTTCCCAGGCTGCCCAGGCAGGATGTTGGGGTGGGAGCTGCATGCACTGCAGCTGAAACATTCCTGTGAGAGGAGAAAGGGCAGCAGCTGTGCAGGTTGGAGCTATCTCAAGTTGGAGAGAACCCTCTGCTGAAAGCTGGCTGCTCCCTGCAGGTGCCGTTACCAAAGCACAGCAGTGATACAGGGCCCAGGTAACACTGCCATGGCACTTGTGCTTCTCCATCCCTGGGGGAAACCCCACAATTAACCCTGGGAGAAGCTCAGGGTGGCTCTGCTCACCCTACTGCATGGCAATCCCTCATCGTGCCAGCAGCACGGGGTTCTCCCAAGGACCAATTCTTCTTTCCTGCCTGAGATCTGCTTTACAGCCTGGGCTCCCATCTCTGGCCCAGCCCTTCAGTGATGCCCAACAGGCACACGCACCTCATCCTAATCCCAGGGTTCATCTGCTCTGCTAATGGCAGCAGCTGGGAAGCAGGAAGATGTAACACATGGGGATTGGCCACCTGCACTTCACTCCCCATGTTCAAGGGCAGAGCTGTTACCTCTGAGCATGGCTGATCAGGATTAGCTCAGCGAGGCTCTGCTGTCAGCTCTGGACATGCGGATATCCAGGGCGTCTGCTGGTCTCCCACCTCCAGGCAGTCCTGTCCTGGGCTCTGAGCATGGCTTGCTGCTCTTTCAAAGCCACTTGTCTGCTTTCATGGGTGACAACACCAACACAAAGCCTTCCCGGCACTCGGCATGAAGCAAACGTGTGTAATAAAATCCCCCAGCTAAGGCAGGAAGCAATTAGGTCATTGCTATTTTGCTGGATTGCCTCCATGGCCTGGGGGGGTTTTCTCCCCATCACTGAAAGCAATGCCTGCTGGTTGTGGCCACACAAAAGCCTCTCTGAAACCAAGATTGTGCCTGCTGGGGACTCACTGCCATGGTAACAAAGCCCACCTTTCCGGGCAGAAGTAACCTCTGAACCACAAGAATATATGGGATCTTGTGAAAGTAATCTCCCCAGACCCAGAATCATTTGAGCTTTCCTGTTATTCCTTTGTGGAAAGGTGAATCTGCATGGGGATCTGAGCTCAGCCCCCCACTGCCAGCCCCCTGGGGACAGCATGGGGCTGTGCCACCAAGTTACCAGCTCACAGAGGACTCAGAGCATGGGGAGCATGACAAAGTAAGCAAAAATAAAGCTTGGACATAAGAGAAACCTGACAATCTCATCTAGAAGCAACTTTGATTTGAACACCTGAGAGCAACCTGAATGCCTGCACAGTGTCTGGGACTGCCATCTGCAGTGCAACTTTGTGGAACTCGCCTTCCTGCTATGCTGTGTCTCCACGTATCAACTCTTTGTTCATTCCTTTGTTCGTTCCCATCAGAAGGGAATGCTGCCTGCAAGGATCTTTTTCAGCTGGGCAAAGGTGCTGCTGCAAACAAACCCATGGGACAAGCGCTGTCTTCTGTTGCCTGTAGGAGACAGCACTCCTCCAAACCTCTTAGAAAAGACTTTTGCTATTGTGGATAATAAATCAGTATATGGGCATAACCACCTTCCCTATGTCCTATTGGGATGAGTGTCATTATCACAACATCAGATTCCACTACAGCAATATAATTATTGCTGTAGAAATGAATCTCATTGTCCTCAGCACCGAGGAGCCACAGCTGTGCTTGGGACCAATGCAGACCCAATGAGGAGCAGGACTCTTACCTGAGACAGTGAGCTCTGGTGGGCAGATATCTGGTGACAAAGAAGGCACAGGAAAATGGTTTTCATGTCTACTCTAGAAAAAGAAGACAAAGAAGGCATAGAAAATCGCTGAGCATAATCTGGTGGTGTAAACAGAGAGCAGAGGAGCTCAGGAGAGAGCAACCCAGCTTTCCTTGAGCCATCCCAAAGTATCTGCACACAGAAAATGTGAGTTCATCGTTTCTCTAACTGCAATTGAGAGCTGAGGATGAATTTGGCTTGCTGAGCTTTCTCCATAGGGGTTTTCCTTAAGCCTCTGCACTCAGGACACCAGTGAGGTCCTCATTCTGACCGCGCTCACCCCAAACATAACTCAGACCGAAGTGACAGGAAGCAGAGATGTGTGCCCACCCCTTCTCAAGTAGCAGCTCGTGGGCTGAAGCCTGAGGATGAAGGGAAAGGAGCCGCAGCCCAGCTGAGCTGAGACTTCATTAGGAGTTCCACCTTTTAGCAACAAACTGAGGAAAGGAGAAATTTAATTCTAGCCAGCAGTTTATTTCACATACACAGAGAATTACACAAGCTGAATGATAAAGGATCTCTCCATACTACTCAGCTGTGTATATTTAGGCTAAGGCTGGCTTTCATAAGCAAGTCTGCAGCTTGGCACAGCCAAAGGCAACATGTGCTTGGCATTCTTGCAAGTCTGTGTCTCCACAGGGTCTGGAAAAGAGAACCTTTTGGGAATGATGCTCATACAAAAGGAAACACCATCCAGTCTTTTCTTATGGCATTAGAGGTGGAAAAGGGCGGGCGACACACCAGGCGTTGCAACAATCCAGGAAAGGAATGCTAACTGCACACAGCCCAGCCACAGGCCTAAATTATCGTGGGGGTTGCATGTTTCAATCCTGTATCACTGTGCACAGCTCCAGCCCTCACCTCTGCAAACACAGCAGAGAGCGAGGAAGCGTGAGCCTGTCTTATCATTAGGCTGGCAAGGAGTAGACATGGGCTGCTTAGGAATGCTACAGGTTCATCCTCATCAGAGGTCTTTAAGAACAAAGAGTTGTTGCTGCCTTAGGAAGGAAACTAGATCAAACCGACTCGTAATCCCTTCCAGCCCTATGGCTGCTGGGGAATGAGATGCAGGTTGCTATCCAGGTCGTATTGTTTTTTAAACCTGAGACTCCTGAAACAGGATGGAGGCTCCGGAGACAAAGCTCCTGTCATTTGCCCTAAACCCAAGACAGAAGACACAATATTTCAGCTTTAAAATACCCGATTGCAAAACAGAGCCATATACGCCAACGCTACAGGCTGTGCACAGTCCAGAAATAATAGTATAACGTCCCCAAAAAAGGGGCTTTTTTGATGAAAGGAAGATCACAGGACTGTGGTCTGTGGTCTCAGACCTGAATTTTCAGCCTACCTCTGGGGACCTCACGTGGACCTTCAGTCTGCAGGAGCTCAGCCCATTTCCCACAGCCTTCGGTGGTGGCGATGGGATGCTGTTATGAGCTGACAGTCCGGGATGTAACCGTCCCCTTCCAGGAATAAAGGCCACTTCTGTGTTTCCCTCATGTCTGAAATGAACAACAAATAGAGAATATTTCAAGAATGAATCAAGTACAGCTGAAATTTGTAGAACTTTCGTGCCCGTGTTTCTTTCTCCAGGCCAATCTCACTTAAGCCAATGGAATCCACACCAGTGTGGTGGGATCTCCACCAGCTGGGTTGTTTGTTGGGGCTAAAGTTCTATAGAGCAACCCTGTTGGGCAGTGATGGGGGATATTGCACTGGCAAGGTCTGTGTTACACTTTGGGTGGTCCAGGCTGTCAACATTTCTTTGTACCACAGCAACCTTGAAGTGCCATTCAAACAAAAAGAGCATCCTTCCTGAAGCCAAAGGTTGGCAGGACATTAAGTGTTTCTCCCCAGGACTGTTACACTGTGATGATAACAGGAGATGTACTGCATGCCTACCTGAATTTGGCTTTTGCAATAATTTTTCTGGCCTCTTCCAGTGTGCTGCCCACCAAAGAATCTCTGTTGATAGCAATGAGTTGGTCACCGGGTCGGAGCCGACCGTCCTAAACAAAGAGAAAGAGCACTGGGAAAGAATGTCCCTCTGCCCAACTCCTTCTCCTGCAATACAAATCTCCACTAGTCTGTGCCATGCATTATTCATCCCTCTGTTTCAGAACAGCTGGAGCTTCTAGAAGTCGCCATTCAAAGGCACTGAGGGTTCCTACACTGACTTACCTTGTAACAGTCACCATCTGGTGTAAGTTCTTGGACGTAAACCATGGGACCATCGGGCCTGTTGGCTCCACCACTGACCATTAGCCCTAAGCCAGAGGACTTTGCTATAGTAATGCTCTGGATTCCTGATTCAGTGGAGTAGCTGCAAGGGAGAGAGGTTAGCGAGTGACTGGAGGTGACCTGGTTTATTTCCCCACGTCTCTAGACAAACTCTGCCTGGTTTTCTTTATGCATAGGGACCTCCCAACTTCTCCTGATCTTTTCTGCCTCTGCATCTCTTTATCATAGAATCATAGAACAGCCTGGATTGAAAAGGACCACAGTGCTCATCCAGTTCCAACCCCCTGCTGTGTGCAGGGTCGCCAACCAGCAGACCAGGCTGCCCAGAGCCACATCCAGCCTGGCCTCAAGTGCATCCAGGGATGGGGCATCCATCAACCTCACGTGGAAGGGAGGAGGTGAGGACTCCAGTTTCTCAGCAGACACTGTTTATCATTAGGAAGATAATTGCCTTGCCTAATCCTGAACGTGGGGAATGCCTGTTTTCATTTAAAGAAACGTGCTTTTAAAGACAGAAGAAACTAAGGCTTAGCTAGTATAGATTTGGCACCCTTGTGCCCAAAGCACACGAAGAATTAATGAGGTTGTCATTCAAAATCCAACCTAAATTACCAGACAGGTTAGCTAACTACTAAACATCCATAGCAGGAGTCAAAGCGAAGCTCACAGCTGACTTGATATCTCAGCCAAGTTTGGCCTCGAAGCCTTGCAAGGTGCCCTGAGAATCAGGCTCTCAAACACCTCTGCAGCAGTAACAGCCACACAGTAAGAGTGCTTAGGGACCCCACAGTGTGCTGCTGTGCTCTGGGCCGACAGCAATCTGTGCCTCAATGCGCCATGCACCTTAAAATATAAAAAATCACTGTCCTAAGAAATGCAGAACCCCCAGAGGGGGTTAATGGAGGAGGGAAGATGCCTGCTTTATCCAAACCAGCTGCCAAGGAGATGAGCTGGCCTCTCCTCTGAAAGGGTCTCTCACTCTGTGCAAGCAGCTTAAACCTCTGGTGCCAAATATTTGTGCTCTGCAAATCCCTAATAAAGGGCTGATATTTAGCAAGAGGATTTACTGGTTCTGCAGCGAAGCCTGATTCTCTGCAGCAGCAACTCGACTTGTTTACAGTGTCAAAGGAAGAGGAGCTGTGGGCCCTGGGGACGAGAGGTCCCAATTCCAGCACTGCTGACACCCTTCATGTTGCGCGTCTCAAAGGTCAACCCCACACACCCTGGAAAGGAGACTCGGCCAAAAACAAGCTCTGCCTGCCCAAACCTCTGACCCTGCGAAATATGAAAGTGCCAGATGACCACATGAAAACACACTCCAGGAAACGCTCCCAAGGCCAAAGGACGAGGTGTCTGCAGTCGGCCACGGCTCACGGCAGCGCGCAATGCTCTCATTGCGCCGTGTCGGTGTGCCAGGAGCAGGACAGTGGGAAATGTGCTCTTCAGGCACCTCCTGATGGCATTGGTGGCCTCGCAGAGGTGCTCAGTGGGGTTTGGGGAGGCAGTGGGTACCATCCTCATGGTTGGTGGGAAGCCACAACTTCTCCCCACGTTTCAGAGAGGAGGAAGATGTGTGGTTGCGTGGTTAACCAGGACCCAAATGTGTTGACCATTTTGTTGAGGAAGCTTTTCAGCTTTTGGGGTACAGGTTTGCCAGGAAGAGGAGAGCTGTTGCTGTGACAAGAACAGCAAGGTGACACTCTGGAACGGATACTGAAACAGTAAGCCATTGTGGTGATGCAATAGCATAGCAGACATAAGGATGAACAAGCCATCCTTTGAACACTGTATTCAAATTCTGTTTTTCCCTCTAAAACAATGTTAGACATATGGTGGCATCTTTCTGACAGCAAGTGGTCTGGAGCGTCTCACTTTTTACTGTACACATGTCTCCTTAAAGAAACCACGTCCCTACAACTTACTACCAGCTGCTCATGAAAACCAGTGCATCCAAGCCTTTAAAAACCTGGCAGTGCGAGGCTAATGGTTGGACTCAATGACCTCAGAAATCTTTTCCAACCGAAATGATTCTATTCTATGATGCTATGAAAAGCACCACGGGCACCTTGCCCTGCTGACTGGTGAGAGCAGATCACAGTGGTGAGTGGGTCACTGCACCATGGCACCCCGGGGCCTGGCTGTACGTACTGAGCGTGGGGTGCATGCGCCGGGTTGCCGATGAAGGGGCCGTGGGAGCTGGCTGGGCTCAGCAGCAGCGGGCTCTGGGAGCGCGAGGAGGAGCCTGAGGATGTGCTTTCCAGGTATCGACCTGAACAGCAAAGTCACAATCAGTTCAGGGAACAAAAATTCACCAAGACCACCCTCCTGCTTTGCTCTACTGCCAGCAGCTGGTAGTGGCTGGCTTTCAAGCTCCTGGGGAAAACCACATAGGAAAGACATATTGCTTGTGGAGAGGAAGCATTCAGCATCCTCAGCACAAGTGCAGCATGGGGCTGTCACCCCGCTGTCTGCCACAGAGAAAGGGCTGCCAGCCTTCTTGTGGCATGCCAACCCAGAAAGACATCTATCCCCATGCATGTGTGACTTGCCATAATGGCACCTGGCTTAGCTTAACCTTGTCCCTCATTAAGCACTTTCCCTTTGCACATGACAGGTATTGCTGGGATTACCGGACCAGCACTTCAGTTGAGTCCAGGTATCTGGAAAGCTGCTATGGCCCCAGCTCAATCCTCCCAGAATTTACAAAGCAGGTGCTGACTTGCTGCTTCGTTCTGCACAGGCAAAACCAGCTGTGCCCTGTGTGCCCTAGGAGATCATTTCCTTCAAGCCTTCACCCAAAGTAAATCAGACTAGAACACATCCAAAATAACTCTGAGACAAAGAAAACTCTCTTGGCAGAAGGATGAAGGGCAGCCATGGAGCTGCTGGCACTGGTACTCACTGCCGCCATGCAGGACTGGTGAGCTCCGTGCAGAGCCGGTGTTGCTCTGGGAGCCAAACTTCTCCAGCAGCTCTGAGAACTCCCTCCTGGAAAGCAAAAAATGGAATGGGTCAGCAATTGCTGCTCAGAAGAGTTTCCCACCACGCTGTATGACAGCAGTGCCCTCACGCAGTGACTTATTACCAAGCCCACAGGGCTGGCTCCCTCCAGCACTGAAGGGCAGGCAGAGATTTCTCACACCTAAACCCTGCAATCTCAAGAGGTTGCCTTTGTTAATGCTTTGCTGCCAGGCTGAGTTTGACAACACCTGTAGGTCCTTGCTGGGCCATGACTGCTCATGTATGAGAGATGTTGCTTCGCGACCTTCCTTTCAGCAAGTAGAACGTGTTGAGTTCTTAAGCTATTAAGACCCACCATTAGCCACGTTTACCAGCTCTTGCATCATTTCTGTAATCCTTCTTTGAGCTGCTGTGAGCCTCTCACATCCGTTTGGACGAGGAGGCACAGAAAGGGGATGCTGGGGTCAAGCACCGTCCTCACGCACCCGTCCATTCTGCATCTGCTCTTTGGGCAACACAGCTGCCATTGCTCTGCTCCTGTGCCATCCTCTCCCTTCATAACCCAACGCTTCCCAGCCAAGCCAACCTTCACTCAGTGAGAAAAGTCCCAAGGCTGACTCATTTCTTCCAGGTGTCATTACAGTCAGAGGAGAGACCCTGAAATTGGTGCTTCTGTGGCAGTGGCAGCGTTAGGTGTCCGCTTTGAAGGCAGGAGGGAATCCCCACGGGAAGGCGGCTGGCTGACAGCACAGCCACATGAAAAGCCGAGCGATGAGCAGACAGCTCTCACAGCTGACAGCCAGTCCTGCCCAGGACACAACCTGCAGGAAAGCCACTGCAGCAGCAGTTTCCTCACTGAGCAGCCTGCTCTTGCACACCGACAGACGTTGTGTCATCGGCATGCTCTGCTGGGGAGGTGTTACGTGTTATTGGCCAGGTTAGAGTCAACAATATAAAACGATGAGTGAATCATCAGCTCCTCGGGATCCTGCTGGAAGTGCTCTCAGTAATTTAAGTCTTCCCATTAACAACCAGCTCTTTAACTAACATCAAAGCACAACGTCTGCCTTATCTCCTATTGCCATCAAATGCATGCCTTATTCATCCCTGTTAATGCTAATTTAAATCCAAGTATCACAGGGCGCTTAGTGGAACGTCTCGATGGATCCAAATATTTTGCATCGGCACTGTTGTCTCTATCAACCAAACCTATGACCTTAAAAGAACACAACTGGTTTGTTCTAAAGCCTTGTTTCCCATAGAGCTATTTCAAGTGGCAGCTTCGTAGAAATAAGACATTGAGCACCGCGTGAGTTGAAGGACAGGTTAGATAGATCCTACAGGCACTCACTGGGGTTTGGGGAGACAACGGGTACCATCCTGATGGCAAACCACAGCTTCTCCCCATGTTTTAGGCAGGAGGAAGATGAGTGGCTGTGTGGTTAACCAGAACCCAAATCTGTTGACCATTCTGCTTGGGCAGCTTTTCAGCTTTTGGGGTACAGGCTTGCCAGGAAGAGGCAAACTGCTGCCCTGACAAAGATATTCAAGGGACACCCTGGAAGGGGGACATTAACAGTAAACCATCCCAAAACCTCGCTTCTGTGAAGCTACTCCAGCTGGTAGTTTCTAGCTTTAAACACTGAAACATGTCCAAGCACCGAATAAGTTGAAGGATGGCTTGGATAGATCCTATAGCAATGGGATGCTGATTTCCCATTCCATGCTTTCCTTGGGATAAGCCTTGAATGGATCTTCCTTCAGCAGAAATTTCCCAATTTTCCAATAAAAGCCTTGTATTTTCACAGAGCATTCGGGTCCCCATTCACTGGTAACTCACGTGGTGATGGATGGAGTCATCCCTCTGTGACATACTGTAATGGCAGGGCTAACTTGCTAGAAGCTAACATGCTATTTCCAGTGATTACCTAGCCATCAGCAGCTGGCTTTTTGTTTTGGGCTGGGTGTTTCTGTGGTCATCCATTGTTACATTTTCCCCAGATAATAATTCAGCAGAGCATGGGACAGGTTATGAACTTAAAACAATGGCTACAAAATTCTTAGTCAATGCAAATGCAACTGGTCCAGCAGCTCCTGTGTTCTTTAGCCCCGCCGAACAATGCAAGCCCAATCAACAGCCCGTGCTGTCAAACCCTTTGTTATGAGCAAGGGCAGGCAAGGCTGGGACATTCTTTCATGTTATTTGAGTTTTGTTCATCCACAAAGTGAGGCGTCCAGCCCAGCCGCTCGCTGGAGGGACGGGTGACAACCTGCGTCGCACGCTGCCCTCATGGCTCCTGCTTTGTTGGTCAATACTGCAAACAGCAATGAAGGCATAAAGATATGATTAACTTGAAGGTTATCCCAGCAGCAAGCGATGCACTGTCCTTTACTCAGTGTTGTATTTGAATTTGAAGAGAATCTGGAGAAGAGAGAGCTCCAGGGAGACCCAAGAGTGGCCCTTCAGTGTCTAAAGGGGCTGCAAGAAAGGAGACAGACAGTCTGCTGGGAGAGGAAAAGAGAAAATGGCTTCAAACTGAAAAAAGGGAGATTCAGATTGGATATAAGAAGCTCTTTATAATAAGGGCAGAGAGGCACTGGCACACGTTGCCCCAGCCCTGCAGACCTAAAGGTGAGGCTGGGTGGGCTCTGAGCATTGATGAGCTGTGAGTATCTCCATTCATGCAGGGGGTGGGACCAGGAGGTCTTCAAAGGGTCCTTCCAACTCAAATGATTCTACTACAATGTGGGATTTGCAAATAGGTGGATGAAGCCCAGTCACTGAACCAGTGCACTGGAGGAATGCTAAAAAAAAAAAAAAAAAAAAAAAATAATAATCATCATCTCACTTTGTCCTTTCAGATACTATGGTACCTCAGAAGCCATCTTAAATATTTAAAAATGTAGATATCTTTTTCTTTGAGCTGGGGCAGTGCAGGGCCTGGAGCTGCCCTGCACAGAGCTCAGCCCTGCAGCACGAGGTTGGATAATGGGGATGCAGCAGCAGCCAGCTGCAGTCGACTTTGCAGCAGATTAAGCAGCAGGGGTCAATCTTCCCGCAGAATATTGTTGTTTTATCTCATAATACCTTTTTGTCCTGCCCTTTTGTTCCAGGGAGAACAAAGGGTGAATCCAACATCAAAGGTGACTGTGAGAGCACTGCGTCTAGAAGCCTGAGCCCTGCACCAAGGCTGGGGAAAGAGGAGCCTGGGACATTGCACTCCTTAATAGCATCTCAATAAATAAAGCCTGCAGGGCAGTGGAACCCTAAACCTGAAGCACTGCAACCATGATGCAAGCAGCCAGCAAAGGCTGTTTTCTCACAGCCATCACACAGCAGCTGTGGCATTTCCAGCTCTGAGGTGGGTGATGCTCCATATCCATGGTGCCACTCACTTGCCTGGAAAGCAGTGATGGGCACATCGTGGCTCTGGGGTGAAAGAATCTGTGCAGCTCCTTTAAGAACAGCTAAAGTGTCTGGAATGTAAGGCTTGCAGGAGTGAAGGAGGCTGGATGTGCTCTGTGCACCTGATGGAGCTATGGGTGTCCCTGTTCATCACATGCAGTGGGACCAGATGGCCTTTAGAGGTTCCTTCAACTCAAACCATTCTATAAGAGCTGTCACAGGAGCAGCCCCTCACCCACAGCTGGAGCTGGCAGGGGGAGGGGATCACTTTGCATTTGCTCTATGTGTGTTGCAACCACTGAGTATGGAAAGGCATGATTAACACATCAGCCTGTTTTTGACAAGATGACCACATGTATCATGCTCAGGTGCGTGATCAAACACCAGCTACACTGTGCTTGGAGGTGCAGCACAGGAAGGTTTTCTCACAGCAATAAACCTGAAAGACCAGGATGGTATCAGCACAGCCCACGGAAACAAGGAGCTATTGTAACTTTCAGGCTGAGGATGAATAAACAACGATTACATGTATGCAATAAAATTATCCTCATTAGCCAAAGAGGAGCACAGATGAAATGAGATCCAACAGTCCTCCAGAGTGTCCAGCTCTAAATCTGAATGCTCTGCTCTGAGCCCTAGCATTACTGCAGCTCTCTGCAGCACGCCTGATGTGCCAGGCCAAAAGCACGCATCTTATACATGCCAGGACTGAGATCCATTAACAGCACAGGTAATTGGGGCCTATAATTAACTTCAGGGACAAATAATAGCGTTTATAAGTCAAATTCACCCAAGGGCAACCACGGCAAAATGCTACTCAGCTGAGTCATGGGGAAAATTGGCAGGCAGGGCGAATCTTCTTCCAAACCCAGAGCCATCGCCTTTCCTCCCCCGCTGCACCTCGTATGCTGAGGGTTTGCAAGGAAAAGCTGCAGGGTGGTGCTCAGCCCATGTCCCAGAAAGCTGACATGGCAGTGTAAAAATGAAGGTAGATGTAAGGAAAAAAAGTAGGCAGGAAGGAGCGAAATCCTTCCTCCTTGTTCCACAGCCTTTCATCCTGGAGATACATCGTCTGTGAGATGATTATGTAAGCGAAATCTCTGCAAATCTTTACCAAAAAAACCCATAAACTGCTTACATCCCCCCCTGTCCCTCTGGGTAACCTTTTGCAGATTTAACGGATGAGCAGACGGAGGCTGAGCACAGTGCTGGAGGTCTGCCTGCCCCCAGCCAGGCTCTGCACTGCTTCACGGGAGCTGCAGCTGCAGCCAGAGCCACACATGGGGATGCTTTAAGAACCATCTGCTGCAGTTTACAATATTAGGAGGCGAGGTCGAGGGGCCTGAGCAGCTCGGAGCAGACAGAAATCAATGAAGAGTTGAGTATCCCTGCTTATATCAACCTCATGGCCTCACCCAGAGCTTCTGCAGCACCTACTGAGGCACTCGGGCTTTGTATCATAGCTTGGGATGCAATTTCCACTTGTAAAGCACAATAAAAAATAAGTAGGCTGTCATTAATGCCAAATACTTCTTCCACCAAAATATAATGCTTCTCAGCCCTGCCATTACAGCACTCTCACCACTGAGCTAAGGGAGCGATGCTCCACGGCTATTGATGGATAAGAAATGAAACCACAGTCCCTGACACTAACAGGACATGGATGCGTTGAGCAAGTGATGAGCCAACCTGCAGCACAAAGCCCATGACAGCACCTGGCCTTCCCCAGTCAGGTCTGTGGTTCCTGGTGCACCTCAATGTCCCAGAAGTGCCAAAAAGAGATGATGCTTCAGCACGCTGCACCAAATCCCCCTGCAGATGTGAGCATCCTATCCCATACCTGGCTTTCCACAGTCCTGCCCTTGTGACACCATCATTATCATCCAACCAAGACCAAACTGAACTCTTTCCTTCTCCTGTCAGTGCCTCAAATTACCTCTAAAGAAAGCAAAACCTCGAAAGGAGAGGTTTTGGGGAGAAACAAATTGTCTTCCCTTGGCAGGGAGGCAGCGTGAAGGAAACTCAGTGCAGCTAACTGAAAAGGAAAGAGAAGTTCCTACTGTCCTTGCACATCTTCACCCAGAGCTCTATGCAGGATGCCATAAGCTGTAGGCAAATCAACAGCACACAGCAGTGCTGAAGGAACCTTCCCACACCCACGCTGCCCTCAGCCAAACACCCTTGGCTACCTCTATCTTTGCTATGGGCTTGAAGCCCAGTGCTGCAAATGCTCTGCAGGTGCCAACAAATGCCACCATCACCCTTCCCAGTGCAAGATGCCACCCCTCACCTGGCATCGTCGTCGCGGGCTATCAGAAGGCGCATGTGGCTGGTGGCTGATGCTGTCCTCAGGATGTCCACAGCCCTGCAGGACAAGAACCACAACGTCTCAGTGCCGAGTCAGAGTGGGGCTGCATTGTTTTCACCCAGCCATATGTCAAAGCTCACATCAAACTTGTCTATTTTCACATACAAACTTCTCATTTGATGATTCTTGAGTCGGCCCTTGGGAACAGTGCTGGGTGCAGAATCCCTTTGCAACAGCACGGGCAAAACAATGCCCTGCTGTCCTCCATGCAACCTACAGCCTCAACCACTTCACAGAACCACACAAAACCAAGAGGAATGCAAGATTTCTGTCTGGATACGGTACCTCTCGCTGGTAACCCCAATTAGAGAATCTCCATTGACCTCCAGGATCTGGTCTCCTGGCTGCAGGCGCCCTAGAAGAGAAAACTAATGGATAAAAACTGCAGAAAATACAGCTTGAAGGGACTTGGAGAGGTTGGGCTGCTCCTGCCTTTGCTCAGAGACAGAATGAAATATGCATGGGTCGCTCTGAGATGCTCTCATCCAACCTGTTTTTCAAGATATCCCTAGATGAAGTTTCTACCACGGCCCTGAACAACTCCGCCAACATCAGAGGCCTTCTATGCTGTAGGGAGGAACGAAGACAAAGGCAAAAGTGACATAAAACTTTTGCTTAATTCGATTTAAGGTCAGTAAAAAAGCCCACAAGTGGCACCTTCACCTGTTCTTGATTGTTCTGCTTTGGATGGAAAAATGATGTTGTAACATTGAGGGGGGAAAAAAAAGTCTTCTTGGATTAAGTCCTAAAAGGTGAACTCCGCAGACCCTTTGCCTAATACCCACTTGACCTGGAGAAGTCATCCCACTGCTGTATGCAATGCCACGCAATCACTGCAAGCAGAGAAGTGGAGTGAGCTTCACGTGGCAGGGATGGAACTTTGCTTAAAGACTCAAAGCAATCCTATAAAAGCTGCAGAGCCCAAAGGCAAGGCTGCCTTCCTTCACTGCAGTGATTATCATTGCTAAACCCAACTCCGCTGCTGAAGAATCTAGAAGGAAACGCCCAAAATGCCCCCAAAAAAGCAGCATATAGAATATACCATCCTCTGGCTTTTCCAATCGCCCTCTTCCATATTTCACTCACCATCAGCATAAGCAACACCCCCTGGCAGGATCCTCTTGACATAAACTCCATATTCTTCTCCAGTGAGCTCCTTGATGCCACCGATCACCTTAATTCCTGGGGGAGGAGAAGCACCATGGCACAAAGGCATGAACTGGCTCGCTCTCAGATCTGACTTGTTGCAAGCCATACCTGTGATAAGTCCTGCGCACCTCCTGTGCTACACCAGCAGCAGGATGAGGTCAATAACACAGGACAGAGGCCAAGAGCATCTGGGAGCACCTCCTCCACTTTGAGGAGCACTCAAGCCAGGAATGACTGCCTTCCAACAACTGAAAACTCAACATTTGCAGTTGAAGTGATTAATGCTGGGAAAGGGCACGATTCTGCTCTTGTGTGTGCCTCTGATGAGACCCACTGGGTGTTGCCTTGGGGGCTGTGCAGCTCCCCATGCCCCACGGGTTCCCTCACCACAGGCTGGCACTGCATGGCCACATCCCCGCCGGCACACGTAAGCTGGCTGGAAGAGGCGCAAGAGACTTGTTTACCCACTCTCATTAAATCCCACTTGGAGGATACAGGCTGCAGACAGAAGGATTAAAAAGCTTGGCTTTAATTAACAAATCTGTCCCAGGACCCGCCGGTCGGGCATTCTGCTGCTGTGGCCATGAGGGCAGGCTGAGGACAGTGGCACAGCAGCAGGGACATGCCCTAGTGTTGGCCCCAGCTCAGGACCTCTGGGGACAGCAACACAGCATCTACCCACTGCTCCACGCTCACTGTATCCTAAACCCTAAGGGCCCAACCATTTTCAGCTATCCCTGGGGAAAGTCCTCATGTTTGGAGTTCTCTGATGTTAAATTTGTGGTAGAACACAGATTATCATAATTTTTCATTTCGGCCACATTTCGCACCCACTCACTGCTCCTTCTCCCAGGCAATGATACAGGTGGTGAGGCAAAGGCACAGAGATGGTGCCCCATCCCTGCAGACACCCAAGCTCAAGCTGGATGGGCTCTGAGCACGGATGGAGCTGCAAGTGTCCCTGTTCATTGCAGAGAGGAGGGACCCTTTAAGGGTCCCTTTCAAATCAAATGATTCAGTGATTCTATGAACCCCAGCCCTGCTGGAGTGGTGTTATGCAAAGTGCATCCTGTAGCAGCTGGCTGTACCGTGCCACTGGTGGAAATGCTGACCTATAGCTGTGAAAATGGGTGGCAAAGAGCCCTGCTTGCCAGGAGCACAGGGACATGGGAAGTCCAAGCGAGGGGGCAGAGAGGGATGGCAGCTCAGTGAGACAAGCAGGGATGGCAGCATGCATCAGGGAAAGGAGGTACAGATGTACACCTCAGAGCATCCAGCAGCACCACGATGCCCATTCACAACCACCTCCCAGGTATCAACTGAATAATGACTCGTTTCTCTTTTGTGTCTGCAAATCGATTGTAATAATGGCTTAAATATAGCCAAAGTATCTACAAATCCTCCTTTGTCTCCAACAATGTCAGGGGAAAATCCGATCTTGTTATTAAAATCAGTGATTACTGATTGCTCCTAGCCACGCTCAAACTTCGACAAGGGGGAAAAAAATGAAACCAAAAACACCTTTTCTGTCCCTAAACAAGAGAGTGTTGCACCAAGGAGCCCTCACCCGGGCCTGGCACTGAGCAATGGGATAGGATGAGGCTGGCAGCGATGAACACAACCTGTCCCATATGGGGGTCCCAGCCCAGAGCAGGCATGATGCTCAGCCCCACCATCCAAAGCCCTTCAGGGCTTTGTTTGGGATTTCTGCAGCTTGGCTAGCATTCTCGAGAGCCCTCATGTTTTATAAACACCTATTTCAATTGAGTTTCTATCTGAGATCCAGTTTAGGTAAATAACGGCTCTTTAATTATCACAGCATCAAAGTCCCGGTATAATGCTTATTAAGTCATACTCAGGGCCAGATAATCTAGCCTATTTTAGATCTCTGTCTTTAATCTTCCTATTCTGGCAAAGGTCCTGGAGCTGATTCTGATGACCCCCCCTCATTTCTCCTCTGAAGAAGAAAGACAACTGGGAAATTCCAGGTGGGAATTCAGTTTACACAAACCAAAACAAGAAGTTTTCTCCAGGTTCCTAGCAATCCTACATCATTCTGAGACCCTCGAGCTTCCCAGCTGCATCTAATCCTGCTCCCACTAATGCCAGTGTTGTAGTTCTCAGCTTCTCAGCCCTATAATCTCACCTGCTCCTGGCTCGCCAGGCAGCTCTGCACCACGGGTCAGGGGTGTGCTGGCTAATCCGGTTGTTTGGCCCAACAGCCTTCATCCCTGGTCATCCCAACAGCATGAGCTCTGCTCCAAGCATGGGAACCCAAACCCTCCTCTTTCCCTCTTCTACCACCTCACCACTGAAATTCGCTTTCTGGGGGGACCCCAGCCCCAGCAGCACCGTGCTGGAGCCCTGAAGGTCAGCACAGGGTGAGGCTGCCTGCTTTCTGCTTAAGCTAGCAATGTTCGATTACATTTCCCGTAATCCCTCTGTTGATCTTGTAGCCCCAGCCAGCTCTTTCTGTCTGAAGGAAGGGACAGATTGCAGGTGAACTGCTCCCTTCCCTGTCCTAAGAAGATGAAGGTCAAGATAATGGGATCTCAGCATTTCTAAGAAATGCTCTTTAAGCATCACCTCCCTTTGATGACAATTCCTTAATTCCAAACCCTGGCTCTGGAGCCACCAGGTAACCCCTTTGAACTCCTTCCCAGGTTCACATGTGGGTTTCCACACCAAGCAGTGAAGCCTCAGACTCAGGCCAAGTGCTGACCCACTTCACCAGCACCAAGTAGGCTGCTGCTGCCCAACAGAAACCAGGCTGCAAAAACACCTGGATCCACAGGGAAAAAGCCTGGAGAAAGGTTGTGATGGCACTAGAAGACCCACACAGTTACACCTACCAGGAGCACACCACAAGACTGCTTTCCCTGGGTCTTCTTCTGGCACCTTACTAAACTAAGCTAACCCAACAGCTAGAATCCCATTAACCCAAATCCACCAAAAATCATCAACCAAATATACCTCCTGATATTAAAACAGCCAGCAAGCAAAGAAAGTTCTGAGTCCCCACAGGCCTCTCATGAGTGGAAGACCAAGAGAGAAGAGCCAGGAAACCTCATTAGCCAAGAGTTGGGAACAACCTCTAATTAACAGGTGGTCGCAGGAAACCTGAGGAGGCTGACTCCTGGGATGGGTCCCCAGCTGGTGACCTGGGGACCTCAGAGGCTCAGCAGGATGATTGGTGCTGGGAGCACACAGAAGGGTGGAAGGAGATGCTATACTGGATCCTTTGCTGCTGACTTCTACGAGCCTAAGGCAGTTTCTCACATACAGATGGGTACGGCCATCTCCTTTCCCTTTTCCCTGTGCTTTGATGTTGGGTGCCCTACAAAGGATGGCTGACTCACTGTACTCACGCTCATACCTCTGGGCTGGAGTTTCCAACGGCATCCAGCCTGCTCTCAGGTAGCCCCACCTCCAGGACTTCCTGGGGCCAGGACACTGGCACGGGCATAGAAAGTGCTTGGGAATTTTTTTGTTTGTTTTAATGTAGAAAAATCAAAATCTGCAGAAAGGTGTGGAAAAGCCACCCCCCAACCCTATTCAGACCCTACTCCAGGGTTCCCATGCAGCCACAGTGCTGCAGCTGCTCATATGTCACCAATAGGGAATTAATTGGTATTTTGACCTTGTTTTAATGCCTCAGCTGTGAAAGGTGCTGTCAAATGTTCAGCACATACAGGCACAAGAACCAATATCAGGTTTCATAAGGTCATGGATGGCTTAGATTGCACAGGACCTTGAAGATCATTGAGCTTCAACCTCCCTGCATGGGCACATTTACCAGCCACTAGATCAGGCTGCCCAGGGCCTCATCTGACCTTTCAGACAGGGAACAGATCATAACACTAATGTTGTGACATGAGGGATGCCAGGGTTTCCCCAAATTGAGGTCTCGGGGGGGCTCAAGACTCACCCAGTCCATTGGCACAGTCATAGAATTCAAAGCAGTGCACAGTTCGATCCATCCCATACGGTCCCATGAGTGTCCTGGCAGAGAGAGGAGAGGCATCTTTCTTTCATGAGCTGCCATAAATGACCACCCATGTGTCCAACAAACCCAGAGCAGCCCTGCCACCACAGCAGGGGGTTCCCATGAGACGACCAAAGGGATGACCAGCTGAGAGTTGCGTTGGTATATTAAGCCCATGCTGGCAAAATGCAGCCCCCCTGCCACCCCCCAGGGGTTTATGCAGCTAAATGAGAGAATATGGGCAGTGCTGGACATCATCCTCCCCACCCAGCAAAGCTGATGGACCTGTCTGCGATTCATTACCCCAGATTAACAGGGCCGGACAGCTGTCCAGCTCTGGGAAATGAGATCAGGGCCAGACCAGTGTTCTGAGAATATACCAGTTTCACAAATAGACACAGTCCAGAATGAGGAAAACCAGGCGAAACCTACTGCTGGTGTTTTGTAACGCACACACAGAGCAGAACGTGGGGAGGCAGGGGCTGTATTCCCACACCTCCACCCCTCCTGCAGGGATCTGCTTTGCCAGGCTGAAGGTGGGAGTTTCTCAACACAAGCCAAAGCAGGGAAGAGGGCAACTGAAATCTTCACTTTCCCCATGCCAAGTCACGTCCTACACTCTCTATGCTCCCTTCTCTATTTCATATTACTTTTAAAGTTTAGTTTAATGAAGCCTGGCTTTAGAACACTGCTCTTGCTCTGCAAGGCTTCACCACGGGAATGGTGGACTTTGGTGTGACCAGCCCACAGCCAGGCATTTTGTTATCAGCTGTGGGACTGCTCTCCCAAAATGCTCGTTTCCCAAAATTTCACTTGCAAGGCAAAAAACAGAACTTCTGAATCAAAATTAGGTCCTGGATTCTTGCTGGATGCAGCTGAGGAGGACACAACACATAGCTCTGAACCCAGTAAGAAGGGAAGGAGCCTCAGGGACTTCTATCAGCCCACCAAAACACCACTCAAAAATCTCCTCATTAAAAACCACCTCCCCCCTTGACGTTCTTGCAACATTCCATGCATTCAAGAGATCAGACAAACAGCTGGCTCCATTGCACACTGCCAGAAGATGCATTTGGAGGGTGCCCAGGAGGCCATCCCAGCCCCAATCCCAGCTGGGGGTCACCATCCCTGTTTTCCAGAGTATTTTGATTAAATGTTTGAGAAAACACCATCAGGGCCAAAAATAAATGGCTCAAACCAAGCTGAAACACAACGCAACAATAGAGGTGTGAGTAGAGCAGATGCCAGCCGATGCCATCAGATGTCGCCCCCAACTCAAGGAGCCCAAGACCCATTTCAGGAGATCCCCAGAACCCCCCACATCCCCTCCCCGACCTCCCCACTGTGTCACCTGCTGATGATGATGGCTCCCTTGTAGAGCACAGAGACGGCGGGCATCTTGCTGGTGGCGGCAACTCAGCCCGGCCGCTCTGATTTGGCAGGAATCCGTTAAAGCGAGGCAAAATGGGGAGGGCAGGGGTCACGTGGTGCCCCCGTATGCATGTTAATTCCACCCAACATTAACACAGATCAGCTAAAAACATCTCCAACTTTAGATTAAAGCTTACGCAAGCCAAACAGAGCCAATGCTGCCCATCACGAGTGCCTTCCTGAGCAGGCAAGCACAGAGCTGCTCCTTCCTCCCAATTAAGAGTGGGATCATTATTTGGGCACATCCTATTGTTCACCTTCAGGCACACCCCCTACAGTGATGAAGGGCAGTGATCAGTGCAGGACAGGCATCCTCAGCATCCCTAAAGACTTTAAGTCCACAGCAAGGCTTCAGAAGCATTAACAGATTGTAGCACTCAACAGTTTATTTTTGGAGGTTTTTGTTTGTTTGATTTCCTTTTAGCATCTTTTCCAGCCCACAGCATTTCCTACTTAATGCGAAGTGAGTTCAGCTGTCCCACTGTCCATCAGGAGGTCAGAAGGGTATTCTGCAATCAAACAGCCTCTTCTGCCTGCATCCTGCTGTGCATCCCCAGCCCACATCCCCAGATGGTGGGACATGGAAACACATCCTCCTGGGACAACAGGCACCAGGACTTGGCAGCACAGTGCATGTCCTGCACCCTGGGATATTCAAGCTCCATTAATGGGGTTTTCCTCCCACTTTAAACACTCTGTCAAGTATTTACTTGGACCCGATGCTTCTGGATGCTACTGCCATGGATGAGAAGTGAATGGGAGAGTTCCCCAATGTCCATGTGCCACCTTAATGGACAATGTGAAGCTACTTGTAGAACAGCAAAAAGCATAAAAGATCTCCTTCGTTTTCAATGTGGGATGTTTTCAGGCAGCTTTTATCCAGGTGAGTGCAGGTGAAATACTAAAAGCCCACAGCAAGCCTTTGGGTAGGCAAAGCTCTCCTGACACATAACTCATTTATCCATTTTCTGATTGCTCATAGGAAGAATGCTAACTGGACACCAAAAGTAGATGTACCTAGTGATATGCCAATGCAAGGCACTCAGCACATAACTTCTACAGGGCCGTGCAGTGAAAAGCATATCAAGATAGCAGAACAACAAGGTCCAAGGCTGCAGCAAATGAGGAACCCCTCAGATGCCACAGCAGTAGGCTCAGAAATAAGGGAAAGAAGCTGCTTACCTTCACCTTCAGAAGGCCTGCAAGGCTATCTGGTAGGTAGGGATCTCCAGCTGAAAAACCCCTACCTCCACTGTCAACCCTTAAATGAGGTGTGGGAAGGGGTGGATCCTGGCTTCACACCTTCTGGTCACTCAGCTGCGTTACGCGCACCTGAGCTCCCCTGGGTTGGCCCTGCCTTCCCACCAGGAGCTCAGTCACTGCTTCAGGCCATGACTTCACATTTCCACTGCACACTGCATGAATCACTGGGACCAGGAGCAAAGTAGCTGCAGCATGAGGGTCTGCGCAGTGCCATGTCTCACTATGCCCTATGGCTGGGAGCCCTGTTAGCAATGCCCTCCCCAGTCATCCCCAGCTATGCTCCAGGACACAGAGCACCCAAAGTCAGGCTCCACAAAGAGTGTCCACCTCCGCACCCAGCCCTTGGTGGTCCCAGTACCAAGTTCTGACCCTGAGTGAATTGGTCAAGAACAGACAGGGGGTTTTGTGGCTTCCATGTCTCTTGGGGACCAGGAGCACCCCAGCATAGTGTCTGCCTTGTGCAGGACATTTTGGCAGCTGATCTGGTGCCTGACCCGCTACCCTCCTGAGGTTACATGATGGTCAGCATCGATGGCCCTCCTGGTCACAGCAAGAGAGTGCTTTCAACCCACCGCTGTATTCAACCTACATTGTTTTGTACAATTTTAGGAAGTCCTCTGGGACTCCTCATGGATTAATTCACAGAATTAACCTTTTGACTCACAAGCTGCAGATTTCTCTCGAATAAATCAGTGCAGCAGCAGAGGAGGTTCAGGTTGGGTATTAGGAAACATTTCTTCTCAGAAAGAGCAGCGGGGCATTGGTACTGCTGCCCAGGGGGGTGGGAGAGTCACTGTCCTTGAAGGTACTCAAGAACTGTGGGGATGAGGCACCAGGAGACGTGGTCAGTGGGCATGGTGGGATGGGTTGGGCTTGGACTTGGGGATGTGAGAGGTCTTTTCCAACCTGAATGACTCTATGTGGTTCTATGAAGGGGATGGCACAAATGCTGGAAGCAATGCCTGCAGTGCTAAGTGTGTGTGTTTGAGGCTTGGACATTCAGTACATTCAAAGGCAAATCCTACAGCAGCTGCCACCAGACTGCCCAGCACTGGGGCCACCCAGAGCTCCCCTTGTTCTTCCCATATGCTGATCCCTTCCAACTGGCTGCAGTGGGTGCAGTAACACATACATTTGTCTGCTGAGTGGTGAAATAAGCTGAAATCTAACCAGGGAGATCAAAATAGTTCCAGAAGTATTTCTGTTTCTGGTAAGAACTGGGCTCGTGTTCAGGAGGGATTTATAAAGCACATGCAGTGTGCCCAAGGGGCCTGACCCTTCCGTGTCACTGCTGAAGGCAAAGGGGACGTACCCCACACTCAAGCTCTTCCCTCACTTGGAACTCAGCTCAGTCACCCAGAACAGCCCAGGTTCCACATCCCAAGAACACACTGACAAGAATAGACATTTTTTAACAAGTTAGTGAATGGAAGGTGCCCACATTCAGAACAAAGACATCAAGACCCTGGAATGTGTTTAGAGAGGGGCAATGGAGCTATGATGGGTCTGGAGGACAAGTCTGATTGGGAGCAGCTGAGGGAGCTGGGGTTGTTCAGACTGGAGAAGAGAAGGCTCAGAGAAGACATTATCACTGTCTGCAAGTACTGAAAGGACACTGTGAGCAGGTGGGGGTCAGCCTCTGCTCCCGGGTAACAGAGATAGGATGAGAGGTGATGGCCTCAGGTTGTGCCAGCGGAGGCACAGGCTGCCCAGGGAGGTGGTGCAGTCACCGTCCCTGGAGGTGTTCAAGGACTGTGGGGATGTGGCACTGAGGAACGTGGTCAGTGGGCATGGTGGGGTGGGTTGGGTGGTCTGAGAGGTATTCTGCAACCTGAATGATTCCATGAGATGGAACAGGTCAGGTAGCAACGCAACAGCACTGGTGAGAATTCCCTTTCTATGCAGTGGAAAACTGTGAGTGGGTGCAATCCCTTGCTGTGACTTTCTCCACCTTTCCTCTATATTTTGGAGAGGAACCTTCCAGGAAAGCATCACACTGCGCTTCAGCCTCTTCCACATTTCTTCCTGCTGCCTCCTACCCGCCCTGCTTGTTGGGTGAGCTTCAGGAGGAGGGGAGAGGTGGCAGGAGGGGTGGGAGGGAGCAGGACAGGATGGTGGCACCCGCAAACACGGCCAACCCCTCCTACTGCCAGGTGCCAGACCTGGGGACAGGTCACGGAGTTGGCAGTGTCACCGCTCCCACCGGGAGCCTCGCATCGAGGCTTAGCAGAAGAATGGGGCTGGGAGGGTTTGTGTGGGTGGGAATTAAAGGAGAGGCAGAAAGCCGTCCTTCAACAGCAGCGACTCTGAGGCTGCAGAAGGCAGCTGTAAGAAGGTCTGAGGTGGGAGGGGTGGCCTCAGCGGGACGTGGCACTGCAGT